TAAGTCTGGTCTTGTTTGGGACCAAAGGTTACAGTGTAGTCCGAGATACAGTACGTCAAAGTCTAGTCTTATTTGGGGCCAAAGGTTACAGTGTACTCCGAGATACAATACGTCAAAGTCTGGTCTCTTATGTGGGACCAATGGTTACAGGGTAATGTTGTTGCGGGTCACGGTCCTTTCAAAACGCTTTGTTAATATTAGGACATTGCTTTCATCATAACCCGAGTAACAAACCGTATGAGCCGACGTTGGGTATTTAGAAAAGCGAGAGACGAGAGTTGAATATATCTAATCGAGACACGACTGACAGACAGCTAGATTAGCTAGATAAGCTGCTACTGATTACATTCTTGCAACCAGATTTACACAACAGTTAGAGTTTCAGACTATAGCACCAAACAATAAAACCCTGGAATTGTCTGGAATCTGGAGTGGAATTGTGGACAAGGTGGGAGTAAAACAGATGTTGTTTACCTGGTATTGATATTATTCCTCATATCGGACCTTGAACCTAACTAATCACTTTATTGGTTATTCTTATAACGACTGGGGAATTCTTATTATGTAAAATAGTTAATTTGGTTTCCAGTACATACACCCGACAAATATGACTAAACAGTGACGATATCACATCCGTATATCACAAAACGATCAATCGTAAAAGCGTTCTGCAACATATCATGGTTATGAATGGTAGCCAATATTTTTCATGATCACGTGAATCTGGTAGTTTAAACTTCAGAAACTGGTCGTTCAGGACTACAAGCGTTCGTATAAATAAATACAAGATATGGATCCACAATGTTAATAAATAGCATCATTGGTAAACCAATAGTCACAATTAAATGCATAAATTAGCTAGGGACTACATTCAGGTCGTAATATTACTATATCAACCAATTGTGAAAAGTAAAGAATCATTTTCGGGGCAGATTCAGCTTTATGGAAACTGTCGAGGATTGCCGAGTGGTATATCACATCATATATAGCTAAGGGTTAGTGATGTCTAGCAACCAGCACATTTAGATTCCAGTGGTTCCTGATTTCTTGGTTCAAAACGACATTGGCAATAAATGAATTGCATAAACATGTTATTCTGTAACTATAGCCTACCCTAGACACATATGACTATGGTTTATCAATGACATTTTTACCAATTACCGTAATTGACTGGTAAGAATTTCATCATGTCAATAAATTTTCACGTGGGAGAAATTTTGTGTGAGACAGTGGTTTTTTTTCACATGTAAAATTAACCAGCTTTATGACTATATATGGACCTGAAAGATTGGTCGGTATGAGATAATATTTTGAAATTATAGGGCCAGTCTCACAAAATCCGAACTTAAGTATTCTTGTCATCTGATTGGTCAGTCACTAAAATTCAACCTTTTTAACCAATCAAACTGCTGAATTTCCGTATTTCATTTTTAAGTTTCGTGAAACGGTCCCTCAGGGAATAAAGGTAAATATACAAAGAGTGGGCGGTCAAAACTCACCGTTGACAGGGCGTAGAGGTAGATCTGTAAATAAAACATTACCTGGTGCCATGATTCCGTCACCATCCTGCCATCCAATCAGATCTCTCATTCGTCTTAAAATCACCTCTTCCATCAATGTAAATACAGGCGCTACTTCATACGTAAACCTACAAGGATAACCAAATAAGGACATGATAATATCACATGTTGTATCACAAAGTGAAAGTGACAGCTTCTATCGATTTCCAGCTGAGCCTACCCGAATAAGCATAGCAGAAATGAATTTCACACGGCGACAGAGATTAGAACCTACCACCAATAATTGTCATCAAATGACGTAAAATTAGAACCCACCAGCATCATTATTTGTGGTCAAATGACGTAAGTTTATATATAACGCCCTAATAGACTTAAAACAGGATGATAGGTAGATAGGAGAGAGATTACACAAGTCGGTTTTCTCCGATCAAGTTTGAGTAAAATTCTGGATTCTAAAATATTGTTTATACAAAAATAAATCAGGATTCATGTTTATATGAAATTGTCGTTAAAGCCATGCCCTTATCAATAAATGGGCGGAAGCGGCAATAGTGTCGGTTGTTGAAGAGAAGATGGTGCATACTTACATATTTGTATTTGAAACAGCCGTCAACCATTCCCCAGTTACCCCTATAATATCTAAACCAGTAGACAATTGGTTGAAAAATCTCGGGTGGCCTGCAAAAATTAGAAAAAAATCATTAACAAATGTCAAAAGTGACAAATATTACAATAACGATATTATCTGATTTTCTCCATGTTATCCATCCATTTGCTAGTAAGAACTTTGTCTTATACCTTGACTGCGATAGGCACCTTTCTTGCGTCACAGAAATTTGTAAATGCAGTGATGGGATTGGATTGTATGCAAATGAATACAGCCAATCAAAGTCTTCGACAGGAAGTCTGTTAGCAATAAGTTATAATGTTTACAGTCTTTCTGACGAGGACTCTGATTGGCTGTATTCACTAGCGTACCATCCAATCAAATTACATTGTGATATACAAGAAAGGTGGATATTTAAGTCAAGTTCGTATTAGCTTGACATTTTGAACATTTTCTGCGATATTACAAGTGTAATTAAAATACGACCAACCTGTCTTGACGCAGTATTTCAGAGTTTCTTTACAATCACTGAGTATCTGCTCCAAATCTCGTGGATTCTCGTCGATATCGAGACAATGGTCCATCATTTCTCTGAGCTGGTGAGGATGGTGGAAGTCTAGTACTTTGGATGCGCGATCATTTTCTTTTAGAATGTAATCTGTGAGAATGTGGGTCATTTCGATCAGAAATCCTCGAAGTTTGTCAGAATTTTTGGAATCCAGTAATTCTGTAACAAATGAAATAATTCTTGAAAAAAAAAAAAGATTTAGGCCCTTTTTGAATGTGGGACGTTTGACCAGACTTTGACTTTTAGCTACAGGTCTTTTTTAGTCTCGGTCAATGGTCTTTTGTCAGTTATAGTACCATAGCCAACGACGAAATACACAAGGATTAACAAAGATCGCTCCTATTAGAAAGCTAATATCAATATTTTTCAATGAAGCCTATGTTCCACCCTAGGTCTGTTCGTTTGGGAGTATCAAACCCTCCCTTGTGACCTTGTCCCTTCCCCGAAACGTAGTATACACTTTTCATGGCATATTGGTCTATAAACGACTTTTACAAAATTTTTGATGTGGAAATTCCCGGAACTACATACCTTTAGAAAAAGATCCTTCGAATTCACTCCAATCCGGGCTTTTACAATAGAATATATTCCTCCTCTCACGTGGTGTCTTACCCTCATGGCTATTGGTCAATTTGCTCGAGAGGTCACGTGGTTCCTGTATATTTCGTTTTTTCAATTTTTGGAACATTCCGCAATCGAACGCCATTTCTTGAGTGTCTGAAAAGAAAAGGCTGAATAGTATTGATTGGATTTTTGTCGGTGGTTCCTGCAATTCCACTAAAACTAAGTGTTTGATGACGCCACTAATCGAGTAAGATACAAGAATGTTTTGCGATTAGTGAGTCATCAAACACTTAGTTTTAGTAGAATTGCAGGAACCACAGATGTCTGAAAATTGGAATGGTGTAAGTAGATGTCATCAGTGTCCCTTATACACATAAAAGAATTCAGAAACTTCTTTACAATTCTTTTAAAGCGTTTCACAAGAGTTATTATCCCGGGGTTAATATTCGCTTAAATACGAACTTCATTCTTCTTCATAATTATTAATACCCAATATTATCAACAGCTGTTGAAAACTGTACAGAGCTGTAACTAGGGTCTTTTTTCTATGAGTCAAGACCCCTGTTGTCTTTAAAGTCAGTTATGTCTAATAGGCGATATATCTAGCGGATATCATATTCATATTTTCAATCTTTGAACAAAATTTATTGTTTGTCAAATTCTGCATGTTATGCCTTGATGTAGTTGTTATAAAGCGATATGAGCGTATAAATATCAACTGGCATGTTTCAACAATTTCGTTTTCTTTTTTAATGATAACATTGACCAATTGTGAGATAGTGAAACCCAAAGTAGAGCAATATGAAAACCTCTTTTGGGTTTCGGTCAGAAACATAATCGTGATCATAATCATAATTACAGGAATGGGCGACGGAAGATAACGTGTTAGATTACAATATATATATATATCTTTTAGGTGATTATTTGAGTGCAAATCAGTTTTCATTCCGTGTAATCTGATATAATGGAGCTTTAATGATAAAACTCGACAGTATGGAGCTGGTATTGACTGAATTTTGATTAAAATCGGGTGAATTGTTTAAACATGTGTCGGAATTCTCACACTGGAATCAGTGCTAGACTGTTTTCATATTGGAACTGTCGCTTTTCATCTTTCATCTAGCCAATAAGACAATTTTCTCAAGTCCCAACTACGTCAAGGTTTTTCTTAACGCTTTCTTTTGTTATGAACCAAATACGTTGTCGAATTTTTAAATATTCGTTTTATTTTTCAAGATTTTCCATTGTTATGAACCCAATGCGATATAGACTATAAAGACAGCCGTTTCATTTTTTCAGGATTTTCCTTGTTGTTTTCCATTATTAAGAACCTACTAAGGTCTAGACTCTAGATTCTAGAACATATATAAATCCTAATTTGCCACTTTTCTGCACATAAGAGTAATTGTTGTTGCTGACTTTTCACCCCGTCCTGTGCTTTCGTGATTTCAATTACGTATTTTTTACCACCTCTTTCACCAAAGTTGTAGACGATTGAAACTGTTTAATTTCTTTACACCCACACGATGTAACATAGTCAACGACTATCGGCAACTAGAGATGCACTAATTGGTCGCCGGAATACGTGACGAAAACACGAGAAAAAGTCGACAATGACAGCACTACACGATTTCTTGCGTTTCCTATACAAAATTCCTTGCAAAATTCGTATCAGCTTGACATTGTGAAGATGAAGTTAGTAATAGCTTGACATTGTGAAAAAGTTCGTAATAGCTTGACATTGTGATGATGAAGTTCGTAATAGCTTGACACTGTGAAGATGAAGTTCGTAATAGCTTTACATTGTGAAGATGAAATTGACATTGTGAAGATGAAGTTCGTAATAGCTTGACATTGTGAAGATGAAGTTCGTAATAGCTTGACATTGTGAAGATGAAGTTCGTAATAGCTTGACATTGTGAAGATGAAGTTCGTAATAGCTTGATATTGTGAAGATGTCTGTATAGGTGCAAATTTTTTTCTCGTTCAATTTCATATCCATGCATTATTAATTACATAATTTACAATAACTCCTAATTCCTCTACAGCTGTTCTCATAATTCCTCATTTATATAAAACTGAATGGCTAAAATAAAGAATAAAACTGTACGAGGGTAGTGGAAGGTACCTTAGTCAAAAGGAAAGTTGGTCACCGTAATTTAGTCACAAGGTCACAGTAAATTGGTCACATACAAATCAGTGACACGATGAATTATGGTCAGTGTAAAATGGTCTTAAGGCAATTTGGTCACCAGAAATATCCTACCGGATAGTGGTCACATAGTACATTGATCACAGTAATTTGGTTACAGCGGTTATTTAAACATTGTAAGAGTAGACGAATATTGAAACATGGACGTAGGGTAAATTGGTAACAGCAATTGAAGTCACAAGGCAAATTGTTAACAGTAAAATGGTCACAAGGTAAAATGGTCACAAGGTAATTTGGTCATAGTAATTATAGTCAGGAGGTAAATTGGTCACAGTAACATGGTCACAAGGCAATTGGTCACAGTAACATGGTCACAAGGCAATTGGTCACAGTAACATGGTCACAAGGCAATTGGTCACAGTAACATGGTCACAAGGCAATTGGTCACAGTAACATGGTCACAAGGCAATTGGTCACAGTAACATGGTCACAAGGCAATTGGTCACAGTAACATGGTCACAAGGCAATTGGTCACAGTAACATGGTCACAAGGCAATTGGTCACAGTAACATGGTCACAAGGCAATTGGTCACAGTAACAAGGTCAGAAGGTAAATTGGTTACAGAAGTGTGATGGCAAATAGGTCACAGTTATTCGTCGACATTGCTCAATTGAATTTAGTGACGGTTTTCGAGTTGTTAAGGGTTGAATGTGGCATGATTTCGACTATTAGTAAAGGTACTCGCATTAACTGCCTAATTGCTCTACGATAAGATTATGAAGATACTATCGCTTTTTCTATTCCAAACTGCGAACTTTTCGAATGATCCTCAAGTAAGAGATGAAATAGAAATTTAAAAAAAAAGAACCGTAGGCCTACTGAATAGATCCTGACGCATGACACGAGTGAATTATGGAAAATATTATAAATACGTTTCCACGGTAACTCAAGATGCAGAAGTGATCAGAATTCTTCCGGGACATTTCACTAATAAAACTAATATTTATGGTCACGTGATACTTGTCTGTTTGGGTGTGAAATAAGTTAGATTTGAAATCTCGTGAGAGTTGCCGAGACATATGGTGTGTGAAATGAAAGTGATGAAGTGTTATTAACGCTCGATTTGAAATATTGTCATCAATTTTCACACGTGGTACGTTCGGTTGATCAAACTTTGACATAGTTCAGAATCTCTAGCTTGAGCAGTCTAAATAAAATTTGAAAAATTTCCCCAAATAAGATATAAGATATAAGGGTACCTCGTAGAAAATCACTTTAAACAATTTAAAGGTCATGGTGCTGGGGGTTGAAATTTTCGTAGAAAGCCGGCGAATACTTCTAACGCGATTTTGGAAGTGAAAGTAGAATACAAAAGGCCTATACATATTTCATTGTTTATGAAATCTAGAAAAGTTGGACGTTAACTTGTAATCAACTGACCTACCACCAATCAAGTAAGTTGGATTTTAACTTGTCATCAACCGACCTACTGTCAATCTAGTAAGTTGGACGTTAACTTGTCATCAACCGACCTACCGTCAATCTAGTAAGTTGGATTTTAACTTGTCATCAACCGACCTATCGTCAATCTAGTACTAGTAAGTGGGACGTTAACTTGTCATCAACCGACCTACCGTCAATCTAGTAAGTCGGGCGTTAACTTGTCATCAACCGACCTAGCTACCGCCCATCTAGTATTTTGGACGTTAACTTGTCATGAACCGACCTACCGCCCATCTAGTACTAGTAAGTTGGACGTTAACTTGTCATCAACCGACCTACTGTCCATCTAGTAAGTTGGATGTTAACTTGTCATCAACCGACCTACCGTCAATCTAGTAAGTTGGGCGTAAACTTGTCATCAACCGACCTAGCTACCGCCCATCTAGTATTTTGGACGTTAACTTGTCATGAACCGACCTACCGTCCATCTAGTAAGTTGGATGTTAACTTGTCATCAACCGACCTACTGTCCATCTAGTATTTTGGACGTTAACTTGTCATCAACCGACCTACCGTCCTTCTAGTAAGTTGTACGTTAACTTTTCATCAACCGACCTACCGTCAATCTAGTAAGTTGGGCGTTAACTTGTCATCAACCGACCTACCGTCAATCTAGTAAGTTGGAAGTTAACTTGTCATGTATTGACCTACCGCCCATCTATAGTAAATTGGACGTTAACTTGTCATGGACCGACCTACCGCCCTTCTAGTAAGTTAGACGTTGCACATCAAGTTAACAGTTATCTCATTTTGAACGTTTGATTAAACGAAACTAGTGATTTAAAGTAATACTGCCTCTTAGAACGGACACGAAATTGAAAGTCTCAAACTTGGTCAATGAGAGCGCATGTATATATTCATCAGTGGACTTACCTGGTGTCATAACTATATTTTAAATATGAAGCGTTTTTCAATAATTACCTGCAATTTTATGGATATTTACTAAGTTTCATTTTGGTCGAGTAAAAAATGTAATATTTTGGTCATCTTAAAAAGTAGTGTTGATATCAATAGTTATAGCATTTTTTCGGGTAGTTTTCTGGAAGTTTTTACTAAAATAATTTAGCCGTAAATTTTTAAACGCCAAAAATATTCAAAATCATATCGAAAGCTTTCATGACAAACTTCCAAACTTAAAAATGAAACAATCCAAAAGTAACACAGTCAAAAACAATCATGAAAACTTTCAAGTTTTAAAAATGAAACAAGTCCAAAAACAAGACTTTAAAAACAATCATGAAATCTTACCCGAGTTTTGTTCGTCCGACATCAATGGTAATCCAACAGATAATACCCTACAAGCTTGACAAATGGAAGTTATTGGTTTTTCTCCTACACTTGTAGAATATTGAAACTGACACTTGGTACTTTTCCTATCATCTCTCTCTCTCCCTCTCTCTTATTGATCTAGAATCAATTAGCTCAAGTCCAGTGATACCTGCTTTCCCCAGCACTGACCAAGCCCCTACCAAGAGTGGCGTTTCTAGGAATCTTTCGGTGAGGGGGCTGAGCAAAGCCACCCACTCAATTCGACGCAAAAATTCAACTCAGATCAGATGCGACTGTCGTAAAACCATATATGATGATTGCTTGCATCAATACACTTACCAGTGGCGGCACCAGCCTCCCGAGACTGGGGGCAAATGCACCTTGTAGCCCCACTTCACTCAACACAATGATACCGGTTTTGCAATACGTCGTCCTTGGACGGTATTATCATAGTTTCTCAAAGCTACCATGTCATGTTTTTTTGGGCTTTTGTATATTTTTCTGTGTTAATAATGTGACTAAATAAGCGACTAAATGAGAGTACCTAACTAGGGTCTTTTTTTGCATTCGGCAAAAATACTGTTGTCTTTTAAGACAGTTATGCCTTTCATCGCAACGCTTCCGGCAGACTTCAACCAGTACCCACCTTAACGTAGACATCAAATAGGCGATATAATTAGCGGATATCATATTTATATTTTTAATTTATGAAACAAAATTTATTGTTTGTTAAATTCTGCATGAGGCATATGCCTTGATGTAGTTATGGCCCTGATCGAAATAAAAGAGTTACAGGCCTTTGCAATAGACTAACCCCAACGCTTGACATCAAAGAGCCACAGACACAGACGTTTATTTTTTCAGTTCTCCCAAAAATTTCGAACAGCTGTTACAAGTCACTGAATCTAATGCAGCTTTCGAGCGATAAAACCCTTTTGGATTGCAAGATATAAATCAAACGGTATAATTAAATAGAAAATAATATTTTGACCAGAAAGTAGAAAGGTTCATTAAAGATTAAAATATTCCCCAACACTTCACTTCAATAATAAAATCAATTCAGAAATGTCAAGGTTCTCTCCCCTTGTCATGGAACTCTTCAATTAATGAAGATATTAAACGCCATCTGTTGCTTCGCTGCTTGTTGAAATTATTGAACAAGTTGATTCTTTGTCACTTTCTCCGCCGTTATTATTCTGCGATTTTCCGACGCAGTGATATATTAAAGATCACTAGTCTTAAATGCTTTACTCATAAAGGATGGCAAATATATTTCCTTTAGATAGACAGATTTTCGTATCTGCTATTTTGATTGGTCGTTGATTAAACTGTCGACCAATTAGATTCGTCGCAACATGATTTGGCGCGAAAATACTGGATGAAAAGTCACAAACGATTCAAAAGGATTGTCGTTCGACATTATTATGTTTTGCCATAGAGTTATAAATACAAAATTATGGTTCCCACCTTGCTAGCAGATTTTCGCGAAGATAGTTTTCAATCAACCAGTCATTTAAATCTGGCAAGTAGGCCTACTTGATTGGGACGTATCATGGACACTCTTTATGGGATAGTGATTTTTATACATATTTGTTCATATTTATAAAACAAACCATACAGAAGAAGTGAGATGATTGGCTTGTATGGAAATCTTAAAAGATGCAAAATGTGGTGGTACAGAAACACATGATTTAAGTCAGTTTCATTATCTTCTATTTTAAGTAACAATAATTGAAATTAAAACCATTTAACAAATATGATCATAAAATAGGCCTAAAAATCGTGAACCAATCAGAAATGAGATTAATGGTAATGTAATATCTTATCCACATATAAAATGTACAAAAACTGATCAAAAACTAAGAATGGATAACTGTCAATCAAAATTCAGACTGAACAGAAATAAAATAACGAACTGCTCATCACTATATATATTTGGTTTCCTTCATTTTAGGTATTTTTTGGCCAATATGAATTACATATACACGAAGTTTGTAACCTATTATCATAGTAAAAAATTGTGGTTTTAAATTGTAATCACAACTGGATAATTCTGTTAATATGGCCTACATTCAAGATACCTGGGGATTGTGCTCCAGAAGTTATTGGGTGGGTTCTCCATAGAGTTGGTTCAACCAATTCCCATGGTAGTTGAGCCACTGGCTAGAATCACAGTTTACTAAGTAGGTGTCAATCTGGCAATGGTTTAATACAGATTTTTTTCATTTTTATGTGAATATGTGTGCCACCCACCAACTTTCCTCTGCACACTCAATCCTCCATTTTAATATCCCCCTGTTTCGAAGCATAACCCTAGTCGCCTATTCTCGAATCAATGTTAGCGTGAGCATGTCTTTGGGTCTTAACTTTCAAGATTGTTAAAATTGTTTCAAGATTATGAGGAAATGAGTGACACATTACTTAGAAATGACACTTTTCAACCAGATTATATTCCCAAAAGAAGTGTCTCCCTCTTACACCAATATGGTAAAAAATGAGAACAATTATTATACCATGTTTAAGGTGTGATCATTGATTTATCAGAAACTCACTGACACTTTCTCAGCCTACTTACTTACAGATATTTGGATTGTTAGAAGCTGTGGTAATGGCAAAATACAAAAGGCACAATTAATTTTATAGTACCGTACCTATATGAATTGAGATTCCTGCTCAAGATATACAGTGGTCTTTCGTAAAGGACATTGAGAGAAATCAATATGTTTAGAAGCCCAAAACATAGTCCTAATTAAAACATGCCTTTCGTTTCTGATCGTACCACAGCCAACAACTAGTAAAATATCTATCAAAGGCATGGTAACGTTCAGCAAGTTCTGACCAGATCTTAAAATAATGTGGGATTTCGTGACTAACAGAGACAAAATTCACCAGGGCGGTGGATGAGGTTGTTGGTATCTAAAAGTCTGAACAGGGTGAGCTACTGGTGGATAACGTGAATAATTTCCATAACGAAAACTATCATTTTCTTCAGTTAATCGTTTCAGTTTTTCTTTCAAATCTAAATTCTCTTTCCCAGAATGCAACAAACTGTCCTCGAGTCTACGCACTTTGTTTAACAAGTCTCGTTCTTTCGATTTAGCCATGTCTGTCAGGTCTCTCTCGCGATCATTTTCCTTTTTAAAGTATGCCACTTCTTTCCGCAGTACTTCCAGATCGTCATGGTAATATTCCTGTTGGTTTTCAATTTTTGTGTCATTATCTTTAAACAGTCTTTCCACAGCTTTTTTCTCATTCAATAATTCATTTTTCAGCGCTTTCACTTCCAGTTCTAATTCAGTGTTTTTTAATTTCAAATCCTCGTAAGTTTCAGTGCTTTTTACTGGTTTTTGATCGAAATCAATTTTATGCCTTGGGATATCAGTATCATCACATTGACTGGACTCAGACGATTTTAATTCCCCTTCCTCCACAGTATTATAAGGACTATTATCGTCTGCCAATTTTGGAGCAAGTCTTTTCGTTGGGGACACACTTTTGGGCGAAAATTTTTCACTTCGGGGTGACTCACAATCTCTCCTTTTATTTTCAGAGTTTGGTGATTTTTTACTCAGAGACTGTTTAGGAATTTTCGATGGACTAGCTTCAAAAGATTCCTCTTTTCGTGAAGATTTCTGACTTGAAATAGACAACGATCGTCGACGATGGCTTCCATGACTTGACCGTGAACGACTTCTTTTATGTGGTCTTTCTTTGTGTCTTCTGTTATTGACAGGGCTAGCTCGTTCATCTTCCAACTCTGTATCGCTGTCCTCGGCCTTCGTTTTCGGAGATTCAGATTTCTGACTTTTAGAATCTCTGTCTTTGGTTGATTCTTCTTTCTTTTTCCGATGAAGTCTCCGAATACGTTCTAGCTCTTTTCTCTTTTCTTTTTCAGATCGGTTTTTGTCCTTTTGTTTTAGTTCTAGGTCCTTTACACCAGCATCTCCCGAATTAGACGCAGGTTTTCCAGAAGAAGGACCTAGTCGTTTTGAAATGGATGAATTATTAGGAGTATCTCTAGAGTTATTTCCCTTCCCTTCATTGGAAGAATAAGAAGAGCTTCTTGTTTGGCGCCCAGGATTTTCATTTGGGGGAGCCTGTCTTCCACATTCCTCTTGGGGACTCTGCACAGCAATACGTTTGTCTGAGGGTTCGTTAGGTTTTTGTGTTGTGTTGACGACGGCTATTCTCCTATCCCGACCATCACCATCACTAAATTGTTCATGAGGTCTGAAGGGAGGTTGGTCCTGTCGGAAAAAATGACCATCACGATTTGTTTCTGGTCTGAAGGGTGGGTTGTCGCGATTATCCCTGACTTGGAATCTGCCTCTGCCATGTCCACTTATATTATTGTAATATGGGCCTGCATCTTGCGCTTCTCTTGGGCCATAGGGAGACGTTTCACGGGTCATGTTCGCACCACAAAATGGAGATGGGTCTCTCCTCATATTGGATCTAAATGGTGAAGGCTCTCGAGAACCAACTAACTCAAAAGGAGGAGCCTCTCTGGAATTAACTAGTCCATATGGGGAAGTCTCTCGAGACATATTCTGCCCAAACGGAGAATGATCTCTAACATTATGAGGTCCAAATGGGGAACTGTCCCTAAAGTCTCTTTTATCGTAAGTAGAATCATACAAGGAAACCATGCCCTTTGATTGATGGGGGTCAATTGAGTGGTACCTAAAGTCTGGATTCCTCAAAAAACGGTTGGCCCCATTCATGTGGGGCATTGGATTTCCTCTTCCAGCCATTTTGATGAATTTATTAAGTAGGTTTATATCACATCTTTACACTGAAGCATATTCACATTTTATTTCATCTCATTTTCACAAGATTAGCTTTCACAATTTTGAGATTTGCTGGATTCTTATTGAGTGGCTGTTTATGCATTAACAGACTGATTTCAAAGGTTTATATTTGATATATTGTATCATGGATTCTTTGGTGTTTTTCCCCCTCCTCTTTACACAAATTTCCTGGCATTAGTTTTCAAAGCAATGTAATGCATCTAAACTCAACAAACTAAGCCATTCTCTTCATTTCCTCTTTCAAACTTTAAATTGATAATCTGGAAAGAAGAAGAAAACATGGATTATTACAGTGAATCAAATTCATAAACAGTGGAGGAAAACTGTATATTTTTTGCAAGTCTGGTGATTACCTTGTACTGGTAGGGTCTACAATAACAAAGATGATATAAACAAGTACAATATAGTTTGTTTTCTAATAGAACGGAGGGTAAGTGGAACTGCCATCAGACCATATGTAATTATTTAAAATCTCATATTTCTCTGAAAAGTTATATGTAATGCTCTGATACAATAAATAACTTTTGGCAAGGACGTGTTACAAGATCAATTTTTACTACTGGTACTGAAAGTAGATCAGATCTCTAATTTTGAAGGCTGTCTCCATCGTTTTATATCATAACAACTTACATGTTGTGGACATCAAAAGATAAATGTATACTATAATATTCTAGAAACAAGACCCTGAAAACTTTGGTTCGTCAATCCTATCCTTATTAAAACAATAACAGAGGGGGGCAACAGTCATTTTACCCTCATACGCACATTTTACTTTGTCATTGTGTCCAAGTCGGTGTCAATGTGGCTTTGAGTTTGACTCTCTCTCCATCTTTCCTTCAAATCTGATAATAAATTCTTGAAAATGACCCAAAATGTCTTGACCTTCTTATGGAACCTCCCTGACATCACTAGGTCACCACTGGCACTTGTCATGGTCATAAGGCACAATTCAGTCATTGCAATTGTTGTGGACTGCGGCTTAGACTTTCGATCCGCCCTCCAAACAAATGTTTTACTCACCTATTTTGATTCCAATTTAAAGCCGATCGACTGGAACTCGCATTTTTTGCATGGTCGAGACAAATAAAAATCTTATGGTATTTAATTAGTCTTTAAAAATACAGAAAAAACACAAAAACCTGCAATAATTTTAATTTTTGTAACTCTCTTATTTAGGAGGAGGAAAAGTACGAATAGACTTGAACATCAAGCCCTCGTTAAATAGAGTTGCTTCCCATTAACTGTAATTTTTAGCTATTGCGACGTATGCTCTGATCTTGCCAGTCTTGGTTTCATATCCAGGATATTATATTGGAGACTGTCGGACAACCCCGCATCAATTTACATAATCGGCACGTAGACCACGCAGGCTACGCAGTGGCGTTTCTTAGGAAACATCGAGCGGGTGAGGGGGTCGAGCAGGGCCACGAAGTTTTCCAGGCGGGGGTACAGGCCTTTCTGTCAATATATCAGTATATGTAAGCCTATGGAGGGAAAGAGAGGCATGGCAAAAAAGCTGGGCCACTAATAAACGAGTCTATCTCTTGGGTTTCTTTAATATAACCTCTTATTATTAATGATAACGATCACCTTTATATTTGAGCACATAAGGGCATAATCAAAAAATGAACTGAGAGAGTGAGGGTGTTCACGAAAATCGAGCGTATAATTTTCAGACCACAATTAACTAGATTTGTTCCCCTTCGACCACAGTATACTTATTTAACAGTTCTTAAAGTGCACTTTGACCAGTTGCAAGCATCATTGGCAATCAACTCTATCAAAGCTCCTTGTCATTCTTTATATTCATTACATCAGCCGTGAATAAAACAGGGGGAGATGCACTAACAGTTGGGTTGGGGTTGGTCTCCAGACAGGGCAAGAAATTTTGACTTGCCCCCCATGAGTCCCTGGACTATCAATGCGACTGCTTGGTGCTCATATAGGCATCTTTTAATCAATTTTTGCATGAATATCCTTGCTCAACAGTGGCGTTTCTAGGAAACATTACTTTAGGGGCCCGAGCAGGGGGCCACAGTCTATGCGTTCACTATGTAAATTGATAAAAATTTTGAAAGTGAGGGGGCCAAAGCTGGGCTCTGCTCAACTCATCTTCACAATGTCATTCTATTATGAACTTCCTCTTAAACCTTGACTGCAATAGCCACTACTTTAGTATAACAATCCAGCAATTTGATTGGATTGTAGGCCAGTGTATACAGCCAATTAGAGCCTTTGACAGAAAGGCTGTAAACAATATTGCTTTGTGTTCTCTGTTGATGCCCCTGATTGGCTGCATTTGCAAGCGTACAATCCAATCAAATCACTGCATCTACTACTATGCATCTTAAATATTCTGCTTAAATAAGTTATTTTTTCATGAAATGAGGGCTATATTTTAATCAATATTTTTAAAACAATATGAATGGTTATTATATTTCAATGCTGAATAATACAGAACTTAATTCAAGATATTTAATTATAAATGAATAACACAAAAAGAATGAAAGTTTAAATTAAAATCAAAATCGTACTGTTAAACTTCTGTCAAAAATTTGCTTTTGAAAATTTTTGTAGCAAATTGTAGTTTTGTACTACAGGACATGTGATATATCAAGAGATTGCATGATATATCTGGCCCTAACAGTTCCTCTGATGATGGGTGTGGCACCAGGCAGGGTATGCTTACTCTTATAAACTCTGTTAACACTTTTCATTATGAAATAAGCCCCTACTTATTCATTTAAGATAGATATACCTCCTCATGTGAAAAGTTTTATTAGTGTTATTAATGTTCTGCCAATATGTTGTTTTGGATCTTGTTTTGGAATACCAACGTTATGTCCTAATCGAAACTGTCGTCCTTTCGTAAAATTATTTAATGCAATTTTACTACCTAAAATTCCTAACTATGATGACATGGCTTCTGTACCGACTGGTAGGGCCAAATTTGTCAGGTTAATCTATAGGTAACTGAAGACATTTCTCCTCTGTACCTGCACAGATTCCCTTAAGCATATCACTTACCCACAAAAACTATAATAACTAGTCAAAGCAATAATAATACTTCTGTGACACAAAAATAACCCATGGAATTACAATTTTGATATTTTTCATTAGTATTGATAAATACTTAACTCATAGTGATTACAATTTGATTATTGATCAGCAATCGAGATTTGGTAATCAATACTTAGCCCTATTGATATATTTTGAGTAATGGGGAATATTTATGTACAAAATAATCTTAGCAAGGCACATATGAATAAATTATACAAGAAAATAAACTAAAATGTTTAAAAACAAACAACTTTCTATCAAGAAACAAAGACAAAAGACAAATTTTGGCAAATATCAAATGTACATAAAGTTAACAAGATTTATTTTACCAGGCAAAAATATCAAACAAATATTAAAAGATGTACATACAGTCCAAAATTGGAATAAGTTGAAGTGGCATTGGCGGTGGATTAGTATAAGCCTTGGCTTGTGTCTGACACCCTATTTAAGAGATATAATACTGTTTAAATTAAATGGCCTGTATGTGTATCAATCTGGCAATAACAAAATATTTTCACTGTTAAAACTAATTGCAGAGTGATATAGAAATATTAAAAACAGGACATGAATTCTCTTCTAATATATTAAGTATCAATTAAGATATGCAATAAATATTGTTAATCTAACTTAAGTTAACTGTATATTAAGTACTGTTATAAATTGGTACCCAAAGGCTAAATTCAGAATTCCTTAACTATGAGAATTATGAGACATCTTAGTATATGGCTATAATTATTGATAAAGCAATCGTAGATAAGTCAGCCATTCTCGCTATGCCTGAGTCTTAAAGGAGATAACTAACATCTGAGGACCTACTATACAGATCAGTGCACCTAACAATTAAAGAAGATTTTCTTCCAGCTGCATGCAAAATTATTGTCAGACAATGGCCGCCCTAGATACCAATGATTGATTATGGCTACTGTAAAATCATATTTCCCTTTTCCGATATTTTGCACCCACCAATTTTCAATCAGACGTCTGTGGTTCCTGCATTTCCACTAAAACTAAGTGGTTAAGTGCTTTGTGATCAATCTCTACTGTTATTTAGGAAATGTGCATTGAAATTCATTCTTGTAACTATGAGTAAAATTCGGCTAGTTCCGAAATTCTAGTCCCTATTAATACTTGTTTTGTTTATCTGTAGACTAAATTATATATATATATATATATGTTATATCTTTTTTTTTTTTTCTTTTTACACAATGAATTATTATACGTGTTAATTCATTATTTATTAATATTATTCAAATATTTATTTATGTCTTTTCCATGTTTACAATATTATGTATCGATATCTTCAAATTTGGAGGAAATAAAAGATTATATATATAGTTTTAGTGAGAACCACTGACGTTTGATTGAAAATTTGAATGGTGCAAATTGATGCTATAAATTTTTTTTTAATCTTTCCACTTCATTTTTTTCCATTTTTTATCTCTATTATAACAGAACTCATTTTATCTTAAATCTCTTCATTTACATTTCATATTTGTGATAATGGATATATTCACTAGTTATTTGGTTATGTTTGTGCTTCTCTTGTTGAATTAATGACTTAATGTGTAGGTTTAGATTTGTATTAAAGGAAAAGGTTCACCATTTTTGGGGTTGGATTTGAATCTTGAATACACAACGTATGTAATAAGTCTTCAGAAATCGCATAATTCCTTCAAAAATATCTCAAACTGGGCATTTCACTTTCTATTTATGTCTTTTCTATATATGACAAGAATCATAGGAAACGACGAGTCGTCACTTTAATTCTCTGACGCGGCTAATTGTGGCCGAACATGGACTTGAAGGTTCAAATATCAATGGTGAGCAATAGACACTATTGGTGATGGTTAAACCTGTCCCTTTAATTTGTTATTTGATCATGTTTGTGTTGAACTCTTGTAAACTAAATTAATGATTTAATGTGTAGGTTTAGACTTATTTTAATTTGATATTTGATAATGTTTAAGGTGACTGTATAACTTAAATTAATGTATTGGTTTTTATCTCCAACCAAACCATGCTTTTAAACAATTATATTGAAAAATATTGTCTATAAATCTGCACATTATGCCACTTCAAATCTTTGATATCAACATTTCAAAATCACTTAGTTTGTCTATCTACAAAATTACCATATACATGTATGTATATATCGACATATTTATGAATATACATATTGTTTTATATATCAGTAATTTCAAATGACATATTTATGTCATTTAACATGATATAGGCCTTATTCTCAAAATCTGAAAATGATTTCAAGTCCAGTCATCTGATAGGTCAATCATTTAAATAGATATTAAATTATCCATACAAATAACTGCAAATCAATACTGTAAAATCTGAATTTCATTTTAATTAAAGGGATTGTAAAGAGGTTTTCTAAACTTCTTATGTGTATCTGGGACACTGATAGCATCAATTTGCACCATTCTAATTTTCATTCCGACGTCTGTGATTCTTGCAATTCCACTAAAACTAACGCCTTTCATGACATCACTAGATGGAGCTACCGGAAGCTACTATTAATATCTTTGCAGTTCCCCTCTAGTTACGTCATAAAATGCATTAGTTTTGTGGAATTGCAAGAATCCAAGACGTCGGAATGAAAATTGGAATGGTACAAATTGACGCTATCAATGTCTCCGATACTCATAAACAGTTTAGAAAACCTGTTTACAATCTCTTGAAGTTTTTGATATAATGCCCAGTATATAGCCCAATCCTTATTTATGTCCATTTTCACATTTTCACCTATCCTCTACGTTTATTCGCTTTTCTCGTTTTCAGTCGATGCGACACCACTCTGCTGACCTTGGTTCCTACGTCTGATTCTAGAATACGGGCCGATTTCTGGATCTACGATAAAATCCCAAATGACCTTGACCCATGATGTATGTTGTGGTAAATTGTCATAATATTCTGGAGCTATCTTTCTTACCTGAAAAGAGAAATTAAGATTAGGATTAATTGATTTTCAAATAAAGTAAATTTAAGCTCCAACAAGTCAGATATCAGATCAGATTTTGTAATTTTTTTTATGTGTATAGTATCAGGTACACTGATAGCATCCATTTGTAGAATTACAATTTCAAGTCAGACATTTGATCAATGTCACTGAAAAGTGGTTTTTAAGTTAAGAATTTCTAAAAGACTGGACAAACCTACATTGAATATTACTATCTATCTGGTTGACAACCAATGACAAATATTGTGTTTAATAGAAAGTGTTCCAAATACACATACAAAGACTAGAAAACTAGAATGGTGTAAATAAAAGATATAAGTGTCCTTAATACATAAGATTAAAAAGTTCTATGAGTCTCTGATAAAGAAATCCTTTAACAAAGCTAATATCAACCATAATCTACTGGCATTGCCTGGACAAGTCTGACAGGTGACCCAATAATATACAGTAATTTATTTCTATCTAATAGCAGGTCAAATAGGGTTCAAATCAAGGTCTTTTATTCCTTTATATCAGAATTCCTTCATTTTCAGAAAGGTTGCATGTATCTCATCATGGTTTAAACCAAGCCCCCTTATCAATAAACAGATAAGACCCAGGTCCACTTTATCCAAATAACTTTCTATGAGATGATGTATATTTATCCATCAGAACAACCTTTTACAAACAAGAAAGGTTGTATCACCAGCAAAATCATATGTATTATTGCTTGACTCATGCTAAAACCTTTTAGCTAGAGTGTCTTGTAGTCACATAACATTTAAAATTTTTGTGTTATGTTCACAAAACAAACTGGTACAAACTGTATAAAAGCCTGTGTATTGGTCGCTTTGAAAACCATGTGATATCTTTAATCATTTTGGTAAGAGTTTCGAACATATTGATGAGACGATCTTTCGACTACATGAAGAGTCATGCCACATTGTTTCCAACTGTTCCTGGCGGTCTACTCATGAATTATGTACAATTAATTAAAATAATGCGCATCTATTTATAAAATGGTGCATAAATTAGTCTGGATGATTGAAATATATCAATATTCCATTGATTGAGTTCCTACATATCAGAAAATATAATGAATATAATTGTCAATGTTTATACCTATTGATAATGGGCCATAAAATAAAAATAATTGCAAGTTAAATTACCTACTGAATAAATTACCAGACATATTTAAAGTATGTACCAGTAGCTCATGTTCCTGTTGATATAGATTAATTACATTGAAAATTTAAATACTTTGTTGGAGTGCTATACATATACATATAGGGCTTGGATATTGATTACCAATTTGAGATGTATTATCAATGACAGACTCACGATCAATAATCAATTAATAATCGAAATGTTGCAATTGAGAAACCCTGTAATTAAATAATCAAAAAATATTTTAAGAAATCGATAAATTTAAACTTGATGTCTTTGAATAAGATATTTGTGATTATATCTTCAAGTCAAGTAATGCAGTGACTTCCACTTTATTGAGGGTTTGAAATGTTATATCTATTAGAATCATATGGAAATAATTTCCTTGTAAGTTCATCGAGGACAGCACATCTTAAAGGAACTTTTTTCACTTCATGGGATGATGAAGTGCAAGTTAACATTGAGTGGATTGTTCAATAATGATACAATCAAAATAGTCTCGGTTGACTGGTTATCTATAGGTAAAAATGATGAAAGTTATTGTTGCAAACCATAATGACAAGTTTGTATGGTATGTTTGTAAATCATTAAATAATCTTTAGGTCAGAGTAACACAGACTACATATTTTACATTAGGTCTTCATCAATTCTTATCCGGTGGCGTTTCTATGAGGAGGGGGGCCAGAAAAGAGGCTAGCCCAGGTTTGCTCCCCCTACCCCCTTCTTTAAAATTTGTTTTCAATTTGAATTTACAAAGTGACAAAAGGAACTCCTCCCCATCCCCCACCCTGGAAAATTTTATGGACCCTGCTCAGCCCCCTCACCTGAGTTTCCTAGTAGGACTGGCATTGTGATTATTTTTATCCAATGCAATGCATTGATAAGAAGGAAAGAATCGCAGTTCATGGATTCACTGTTGCAGGCCTATATAGGACAAAAGGCATGTGGCACCAAGGGGTTTGCTATTTTGCTAAAAAAGTAAGGCTGTTCATATAAAACACTTTGTAGAATTCTAACCCCTATCCCCTAAATACGACTATAACCAACATAACATCTATCTGAGAAAGCAACAACTTTAAATTTATGTCGAAACCAAACCATTTTGACAACTGTGCATAGTGGCACGTAGAGAATATAATATATTATACCAGACCAGGTAATCTACTACCTAGTTACAATATCATTCGAGTGACCTTGACTGTTATAGTGTGACTCAATATCTCAATTGAACATTATCTATCAACGTGCCCAATTTAATATAACACTATTTGCTATCACTTGAAACAGTATGACACAATATGACATACAACATTCCAATACACCCTCATTTACAGAAACAGCATTTATCAAACATACGCCATCATAATATTATAAAATATTTGCTGAATCTGCATGTAGCAGTATCTGTATGAATGATATATAACAACACAAACAAAACAATGTCAAGTCCGTTTTTTTCATTATTCATCTTATCAAAATGAAGATGTTGCATTCCTGTTTCAGTGGGGGTATATTTATCTCCCATCCATGATCTTACTTAAATTATCTATAAATTGAGTTCAGTTCAGAATCAAATATCAACTCAAGCTCATCTCCACAATGTCAAGATATTACGAAATATGTCTTATACCTTGACTGACTGCAATAGCGACCTTTATATATCACAGGGTTCTGTTACATTCAGAACATAAACTAAGTCACAGTTGTGACTGACAATAACTAATCTAACGAGCGCTAATATGTTCGATATAAAAGTTTACATACCTCTGGTAATCTGGAGCCAGGAATGCTGGGAAAATCGTGATGCTCGTTGTGATATCCCACGTTAAATGTCAATAAATTTAAAGGTCCGTAATAAGAATACGTTTCGTAACCTTTAACAAACATGTAATGTTCAGAGATAAAATGCCCTGAAAGGGGATGTAACCCTGTTCCTAGAAGTGTTCCAGCAATCAGATAAAATAAGGATTTCCATCCACAAGTATAGACTACTAGAGTGTCGAAGGAAACTTGTATAATTATGTTGATAACCTCTAACATACTCAGTGGTTTGGGATATACAAAAAATGGTCTGATTGCATAAAACAGAGGTTGAAGAATCACCCATATAACCTTCATAAACGTGTTGACAAAAATTTTTCCTTCTATTTCTGAGGGAACATCTACGTCCCGCAATACATCACCTTGGTAACGGTGATGCTCCAGATGATATTTTTTAAACGATATCGATGTCGGCACTCCTATTGGTAAATTCGCAATAAATCCTAGAAGTCTATTCCATAAAGGTTTAGAATGTCCATAAGCTAAATTGTGTGATATTTCGTGAATGGCTAGATTTAAGGAGTGGTTAACTGTTCCACCAAAGCAATACGTCGCCACTAGAAGCATTGGCCAGGAAGCATCTCGAACCAGGTATAAAGCTAAACATTGTATCACAACTAATAGCAAGACTGAGTATTTCAAATTTGGATCACTTCCCATTAATTTCTTCATCTGTGGATATTTACCTGAAAATATAATTAGAAAATAATAAAATATTTTTTTTTCTTACTTCAGTTCAGTGGGTTCTTTGAATCGTTTGCATTTCTTTTGCCTTAATTTGTCTATCATAGAAACTAAAAAACCTGCCATGATATCATTGTCTCTTGTCTCTTCAAAACGTCTGAAACTTTTACCTATTTATACCGTGTTTCACTGAGACAGTAAAGACTCAAGTAATAATTATATTTATGAGGTCACGTTTACCAAACCTCATATGAAGCTATTTGGATTAAGTGAATTAGGTTTAAGGGAGGGAGGGGGGGTGCTCGTTTAACCTATCTTTTTTGTATATCCCAAACCACTGAGTATGTTAGAGGTTAACAACATAATTATACAAGTTTTCTTCGACACTCTAGTAGGTAGGAGGGGGGGGGGGGCTCATTTAACCTATTTTTAGCTCTTTAAGATAGCTATGGCCCTTAAAGCTGTGCGAAAATATTAGCATGGCAACAGCAAGTAAGGACATTTCACAGTCAAAGTCTTCATAAAATCTGCATAGATTTTCAAATAGGCTGATATTGACAATACCCTTAGCATTGAGTGATCTTTATGTTTGTATTATTAATTCATTTTTCAATTTATTGACAGTTGTGGGATTCTATTCATATTCATATGTTTTAAGTATTTGTATATTGATCTACAATTGATGTATTGAGTACTATCTTAACAGGGGGATTTCTATATCACTCTATAATTGATGTATTGAGCACTATTTTAACAGTGGTATTTCTATATCACTCTACAATTGATGTATTGAGCACTATTTTAACAGTAGTATTTCTATATCACTCTACAATTGATGTATTGAGCACTATTTAAACAGTGGTATTTCTATATTGCTCTACAATTGATGTATTGAGCACTATTTTAACAGTAGTATTTCTATATCGCTCTACAATTGATGTATTGAGCACTATTTTAACAGTGGTATTTCTATATTGCTCTACAATTGATGTATTGAGCACTATTTTAACAGTGGTATTTCTATATCACTCTACAATTGATGTATTGAGCACTATTTTAACAGTGGTATTTCTATATTGCTCTACAATTGATGTATTGAGCACTATTTTAACAGTGGTATTTCTATATCACTCTACAATTGATGTATTGAGCACTATTTTAACAGTGGTATTTCTATATCGCTCTACAATTGATGTATTGAGCACTATTTAAACAGTGGTATTTCTATATTGCTCTACAATTGATGTATTGAGCACTATTTTAACAGTGGCATTTCTATGTCACTCTATAATTAATAATAGGACGTAAAACTCCATTCATTTCATTTCATATAATTAATGTATTGAGCATTATAGTAAAATAAATTATTGTAACATGTCATTGTGATACTAGGTCAGGGTGATCAGTTTAAACACCCACTCTTTATAAACTACACTGACTGATTCAAAGGGTCAATTAAGGTCAAATAGGGACAGGTTAAAAGTGAACGACCTTTTATTTCATATTTTCACTATTAAGCAAAGGCATTACTTATTTGTCAATTTACAGAAATTGATAGACTCTTGATAATCACTTGAGTGTCTGATAGATATTTAAAGGCTTTAGGCAGGGTCAGAAATAAATCCTGTTTTTCAAATGTTTTTTTTTTGGGGGGGGGGAGGGGAGAGGAAGACTTTCCGAGGCTTCAGGAATTTTAACCTTAACCCATTTCTCTAACTAATCAAGTTTCAATATTTTTTTGTCCCGTGTCTGTGGTTTTAAATTTTCATAGAGATTTCCCTTTACTATGCTATGTTACAATGGTAGTCATTTATAATGACAAAATTTTGAATTAAGCGTAAATTATTTGAAGGACATTACTTCTGACAAAAGATCGAAATCAGAAATTGAGCCCATATTTTCATTTTTGAAGTGAAGCAGACTTGAACAAAATGTTATCATATCAATATATATTGTTGGGTATATTAATGACCTAATTAAGCCATGCGACCATAATAAGGTTGAATATGACTGATATCAAATCTATTTGGGCTAATCTTGTATAGGTTGGGCCCTATTATCTTGTATCCATGCTATTGATCATAGAGAATTAGACAATACGTTTCATTCCCTACAGTCTTTCATTCTTTATCAATCAGAAAATCATCTAAGAATAGACTGAATATTGAACAGCACCGTGGTGGGAAATCCCCTTAACAATAAAAAGACATTTGACTCTAGAAATTAATCACACGCCTGCTCGGCACACTGACTTGAAGTGCTGTAATAATAATAATAATAATTTATTCTTATTGCAATATATAATATAAAAAATCTTGACGTGCTTCACAAAACTATAAATCATGAAAATACACAACAAAATTTTTTTTTTAACTCCTTTTTGTGAAACACATTTCGTATTGATTAAAAATTAAAATATCGCTAAAAAATTCTTCAGTGTTAAAATTAATACTTATAATACTCTTTAAAAAGAAAGGTTTTGAGTGCGGTTTTGAATGTTTCGAGCTTTTATATAACTCTGTTTCCTAGTTATTCCTTCCAAGCCTTTGGTGCATTATGCATTAATGTCCTATCTCTGTATGTTTCATTTGTATTTAGTAACCGAATGACTGGTCTTATCGCTCCTGATGATCTTCTTCAGTTGGGCGTGTTGGAGCGTTTATGCTAATCAGTTCCGCAGGTACGCAGACGCTTTAATATCAATCCCTTTTTGAGTTGACTAGAGCTACCATGAGTTTTTCTCTTGATATAAATCTTATTTATGTTACTAGGAATGGCAGCTTAAGGTTGTGAATGCAGCAAGTAGGCTAGAACAAGTAGAAGAATAAAGAAAAAAACAAAAGGTCACCCCTCAAGGCTCAAACTTATAAGAGGAGTGTCAGCAATGGCCTCAACTCAATTCCCTGTCGCCCTGTGTCTCTGAAGCTTAAAATTATCAGTCAGACATAAAACAGAAATATTAACCATAGTTTTATCGAGCCTAATACAAACTTCAACCTCTACTAGTCTCCATAGCGTGCTGTCATTTTCTATGTCAGAAGGGTTAAGGCGAGCTCCAAATTCCAACAAAAATAGTTCAGAATTTGCACCTACCTAAAATTTCTTTTCTTCTTGTGGCATGAGGTTCGTCTGTGTAAGACCATTCGAAATCAGTTCGGGAGATACGAGCTCCCATTTTGTTTGATTTCTGTTATGAAACTACCGCTACTATTTATATAACACAACCGGCTTGACACTCTACCATTTAATGACCGTCCTCTCCTGTTGAGAACTCTCACACAAATGTCCGTTATCGTCAAACATCGAACGAATATTAAGCAGCCTCATTAGCATAAATTAATATTCATGAGATCAATCACGTGACTTCTTGTCGACCCGCGACTAATCCAACCCGCCATTCATTTGTGAAGACAAACAAAGATGGCGTCGATCATCGGTTCAGAAGTAGAAATTCAGGAAATAGAAGTGGAAGCGATTCCAGTGGAAATGCCAATTGAAACAGTGGAAACATCAGACGACACAGTTTCAGTACAACCTATGATCGCTTTGCAGCCATTGCCAGAATCAGCACACGAAGAAATTATTTTACAAACTCGTGAAGAAGTTGTCGGAGATCCGAACCTCGTGTATGACACTATTCCAGTTCCAGCTCCAGAAATTGAAATAAGTACGGAAGAATCAGTGATTCCTAAACGTGGTAAAGGTGGGAAAAGGAAAGGTGGTAAATCTAAAGGATTAATGAACACGTCCCTTTCAGGACTTGGGCAAAACGATTTGACATTGGGAGACTCCTCGACGAAAAAATGGGAACAAAAACAAGTGCAGATAAAAACTTTGGAAGGAGAATTTTCAGTGACAATGTGGGCATCGGGTAAGAAAAAATGTCTAGATGTGGGATTGTTTTACACGGGGGTAAACTTCTTTTTTTAGTCCGTCGAAAATTGACTGAAAAAATGAGGAGAAACTGTCAAAATATGGCAAAATAGCGAAAAATGGAGCAGACATGTCGAGGAAGGAGGTGTGGCGAAAGTCATTGTTTGGCGTGCTCCAATTTCGACCTATTTTACCCATCGTGTACAAAATTTTGATGATCGGGAGCATTTCCAGTCAAAAATTGACACTTTTTAGAGTTTGTTTTGATATTTCTGTCCGCCATCATGATTTCATGGGCGCCGCCATATTATGTTAGAAAATGGCGGTGATTTAGTAATGGCGACTGGCCGCCATCTTTGTTAAGATGGACCCGAAATGCTCCAAAATTATCTTTAAAAGAGAATCGATTTTATTCATTTTTGAGTTAAAATATTGGGTTGTGATATTTTTTGAGACAATTTTTAAGGGATGGTGGGTCTAATATTTGTTAAAAGTCAATTTTTTGGCCATGATAACGAAAAAATGACGAACGACCTTGAGTTCACCTTGGCGATGAATCATGAAGGAAGTCGTCTTTGTTGAGGTTACAAAGAGTGACGTAGTTCGTCTGCTATCGGTGAATGGTGGGTTTTGTATACGAGCCAAGTTTTAAGTTTACTCTACGAAGAGTTTGCACAGCCATTGAGGTTAGGTTTATTGAATTTTTGCTGTGTACTTTTACCTGAGAAAAGAAGATAAATATCGTGGTTGGTAACCCACAAAATCTCTAGATTGCTCAATGTACGAGTCGATTTTACTTGCGACACAGTTTATGTCAGGTCAAAAGTTTTGAAATCATTTAATTAATCTGTCGTGTAGTAATAAATCATAAACACTCTAATCTAACTTACAAGGCTTACTTGCAATAAATAAATTGTTACTAGGGATAATGCAAAGCACCTGCTTAAAAAATGTACAAGCAACTACAAACAAGGACAAAAAGGTGATTTCCTAGCCTGTCGTTCTATTCTTATTCAATTACAGAAACCAGTTTAGATTTAATGTAGAGCAAAAGTTGCATTTTTAAAGTTAATAAATTAAAGCATGGTATGACTATAACAATTACATGAATGATATTGAAGTCCATTAGGCATAAACAGGGGTGTATCTTGGAAATTCCTGATTGGGAAAGGGGAGGGGGGCAAATGAGAGGTGCCAAATAAATTGTTAATTAGATCGCAGGCTGTAATTGGATTAATGCTTGAGTAATCTGCTACTGTTTTATCAGATTTTGTAACAGTAAAGCCCTTGACTTGGATTAGATTAAATCATTATAGTTGTTATAAAAGCTGATTGGATTAGTAATTGAGTGTAATCTTCCAGTAGCCCTGTAGATCCTATTGGCACTCTGGTAGTCAAATTATAAGCCTTAATTAATCTTTAAATGATTTTAAAAACTAAATCAGTACCGGTAGTTAAAATGAACACGCGTTGAAAGTGAATAAAAGCACTGCTTCGGTTATAATTCCTAGTAACCTTGTTGATTATAAACTGATAGTCTAGCTAGTCTTATAACAAGCACTAATCTTTTAATGGCAGATGCTAATCACTGACAGTAATTAAATCAGTAATTTGCTGTAGTTTGTTTCACATTTAAATTCTTGAGCTGAACTTGACAAATAAAAAACAGTTTAGAATTATAAGAATATACCTACAGTCTAATATTACTAACACTAGTTCTAATCTTTTCATGTTAGATGCAAGTGTTTTACCTTAATCTAAATAATCAGTAAATTAAACTGCTCTCATGTTGAGATAATTGACAATTAAAAAAATGCTAAGCATTATAATTCTAAGCATTTAACTACAGCCTAGTGTAATATAATATGTTCTAAGCTCTTAAAGAAGCCATATTATGAAATAAACTAGACTTGTAGTTTTGTCACATTCAGACTATTTCAAATGTCAACAATCTCCAAATAATTTTATATTTAACCCTTTGCTGAGTTTGACCCCTGAGTGTAAATGAAATAAAACATCATATACCCTGAACTTCAACTAATATAAGCGCATGATGTTAACGTTGTAACATTGGTAACGTTCTCATTACAGAATATTTAGCATAGTCTTGTCTTATGAATTTATGCTAAGTTTTTTTGCTTTTAATGACACCATTATATAAGCTTTACTATAGTTTGTCACAGTTTTCTCTCTTTGACTTATATTAAAAGAATTCTTACAAATGACAGCAATTTTACAGTTTGTCCCTTGTAAGAGTTCACATTGTTATTTTATTAATTACAGTATTATAATACTGCTTCTATTATAGATGATCACAAGCTTGATGAAGAAACAGTGTCGTCAACGGATACCGATGCCGATTTTACCGAATATATGACTGGTAAAAAATTACCACCAGGTGGCATTCCAGGGTTAGATTTAAGCGACCCCAAAACATTGGCAGAATTTGCCAGGTATGTGCTATTCATGATTGAATGATTTTGACTGAATATAAATATGAAACAAATTATGGTTTTTGTATTGGTATAAGTAACAACTAACTCGTCAACATAATATTAATATTGGAGGCTGTGTCGGGCATTGAAATGATTCTTAATGCTACAGGTTATGCACGTTCATGATTCATTGAAAATTAAAAGTAGTAGGCTTATGTAACACTGAACAGTGTTGGCTGTCTTCATTAGTTCAATTAGGTGCAGAAAAGTAGAATAAAAACTTATGTTTCATTTCATCTGTTGAACTCTCAATATATTAATTACAAATAATTAGAAATATTAAAACAGAAATTAAAAAAAAAAATGCTCTTACTCAGAGTTTCACGCTATGTGATCTTCAGACAACTGACCTATTCATTCAGCATGCGTCTCTACTGAAGTTTGACAAGTAGAACTTATTCTCATGTCTACACTACTACACTATACTGTTTTGTAAGACATATTGAAATAGGGATAGGTAAAGAAGCACAAGATATATGGATATAAGCTTACTATACATATACATTTCTCTGGATAAAGTGCCTGTATGAGAATGCGAAACATTGAGTTAATAAATATCAGAAAAAGTATATCCATATATCTTGTGGTTCTTTACCTACTAGACTAGTTCAGACTGTTTATTATTGTATTTAAAATAATTATTATAATTGCCTAACAGCAGACATCAATTTATAATATTGTGTTTTTCAGATCACCAAGTGGTAGTTATTTAACACCCTACGTCCACGATCAGGTTGGACAAGAATTTTCTCTCACCAGAGATTCGTATGAGTAATTTTAATTTTTTATCATTTTCATCCTCACAAATACACTTGTACATTTCACTTCAAATTCAATGTCCGCTTCGAAAAATCTCTAATAACGCTATGTTTTATTAAGAGTGAAAGTTAACGACAATATTAGAAATTGCTTTAGTTCAGGGCTGTTGATTTCATTGTATATACCAGTTATGTATGCTTGAAATGTCTTAATTTTTGTCATTCATGACATTTTCGATTTTAAAAAAATCCAAAACATGCTTTCATGTGTAGTTGAAAAATTTGTGAATCAACAGACCGAATAGATGCATGAAAGCTTGAATTTGTTAATGAGATAAAGTAAAATGTACAAGTCTATTTGTGTCCCATCATATCATTCAAGGTATTTCCTACAACTTTCTACTCTTATCCAATCATATTCCTTGCTGCTGCATGGCATGTACATAGGTGAAGGTTACTTGTATATTCTTGCTTAGTTGAAGGTCAAGGTCTATATGTACTCTTATCTAGCATGTGAAATATCATTGAGCATCTGATAAAATCTGAATGCTAACTTCTTGCTCTTCATATACCAGTCCTGTCATGCATTATTGACTGTAATGATGCCACATAACTGTTTTATCTATGTAGCTTCACTTGTCAAATCTTACAGAAAGCTTAATGTAAATTGTTCAATTGTTCTCACATGTCATTTCTCGGATTCTTTCTGTTTTGTGGAATCATTGAGCTCTGAAAACAATCCTTTCTAGGTGACGTCTTCTAATTTTGAGAATTACTGATCAAAATGTAAACCCACTGAAATAATTCAGGCATGCTTAGAGGTATTAAACCATACCTCACAAACTACACAGCCTACATTTTGCACGCTAGAATACGTCTTATTCAATTTCATGTAGAATAAACACTAGATATTTCTCATATCTTGGTGCTGGTCTGTAACTATGGCATCTCATAATCATCCATTATCACCAGTAATATTCAATGTAGTGCTGTCATGTAATTCAGATAAGACTGTATACCTCAAGATTACTATTGGTGCATAAATTATTAATGTGTTAAATCAGAAAGATGATAAGAAAACATATCGTGAAACAATTTAACTAATCTAGAGAAATGCATTTTAAGTACAACAATACTTGAATGTTATGTTATTACACAAGAGGAAAAAAACATGTGAAAATAATTTAACTAAGCAAGGTATATGGTTTAAGATTGCTAAGAAATGCTGTTGTTGTATTACCATAAGAGTGTATAACCCATAGGTTATTGTAAGGTACAAATGTCCGATTTTTGGTCTAGTAACCTTAGCAATGTAGTAATTATTGATGTTTTTATTTCAGTATTAAACCTAAAAAGGCAGCAGATGATGTGCCCAGAACTGTTCCCTGTCCTCATAAGGTTGGTAAATTTCATAATTTAGGGAGACAAGAATAACATCCCATTTAAAAACATGCTTTATTTAGTTAGTACACACATGATTATCCAGACTGCCATGTGTCAATGTGGGATGGTCGACGTTTATCTAAATATGCCTGTAATGACATGTTTCAACAATTAATAAACTTGATTAACCTCTGAACTATTTTATCAGGATTTAAAAAAATACGTGGATAAACAGGACTCCTTTATTTAAAACATTAACATAAAAATTTGTCTTACAATCTGAGTAAATATAATCAAAACTTGATGGCTAAATTTACAGTTTACAGCTTTTGAAATTTACGTATTTTGTTTCTAGAGTATGTGACAAATCTAATGAAATTGTCTCTGTAATGAAATATCTTGTCAGACCTGTTGAAACAGACTCAATGATCAGGAAATATTGTCAAAGTAAATATTGAAAATAAATATAGAGGTCATTATTGCAATCGTTAGACAAGCTTAAAAGAGTTATTTCCCATCTCAATATATTTGTATTCCAGGGATGTAATAAAATGTTCCGTGATAATTCAGCCATGAGAAAACATTTACATACTCACGGACCTCGTGTTCATGTCTGTGCCGAGTGTGGTAAAGCGTTCGTTGAAAGCTCGAAATTAAAGAGACATCAATTAGTTCATACTGGAGAAAAACCCTTTCAGGTAAGACTAGTTCTGATGCATTTCTCAATCTTATACCTCAGTTTGGATACGACATATTGTTAAGATAAAATAAAAGTTATATGGACTTGCCAGTTGAAGTAACATGTCTGAGAACTTTAATCAATGATGTAGACTCTCCAAAAATGATTCACAGTTTTAAAGTGTTCAGGGTAGATCTCATATTGCCAGTTGTAAAACTCTTCTCATTTTGTAGTCAGCCTTTGAATATTCAAAATGTTTTTTCTGTCTTTTGAAATTGCATTACCAGTACATTATTTGTGAGATAAAAAAAACTTATTTCATTCTGATTATGGTTGCTAATTACAGTGTATATAATATCCTTCTTTTGTTATTACAGTGTACGTTTGAAGGATGTGGAAAACGATTTTCTCTGGACTTTAATTTACGGACACATGTAAGAATACACACAGGAGATAGACCGTATGTTTGTCCGTTTGATGGATGTAATAAAAAATTTGCCCAATCTACCAATTTAAAATCACATATTTTAACACACGCCAAAGCAAAGTAAGTATTGCTTGTCTTATGATGATTCTTTTCTATTATCCTGGCTTGTCCTATTCAAAGTAAGAAACAACCAGTTTGTACTAGGCTAATATCTTGAGTTCAAATAGGATCCTGTCCAACAGTTGGTCCTTTCGTTCAAATAGCAATTGGGGAGATTGTTTACATAATGTTTATTAAAGAAAGTCTTGTGAACATGTTTGTTTGCTTGCAATCGCTGACATTTTTACATTGTTAAATGAAAACAAGATCTCATGAAAATGAGAAGATAGCAGTGTGATTCTCAGCCAATGATGAAATGTAAAATCGTTAATATTTTTGTTCTATTTTTTTCAGAAATCAGCCTTCCTACCAGATCCCTGGCTCCCAGTAAGTAAACCTCCAGATATTTAGAAATAGAAATAATCAAGGCCTAAACACATACAGTAGTAAATATTGTATTCCTACATTTAAAACAACACTGATCAATGTCACTGCCACCACTGTTCAAATGTAAATGGCAATTATAGAAATAGTCAATTTAAGTGAGTTGGACAAGACACTTGCTCTTTCGCTGGCAGATACAAAATTCCTACAAATGTGGAGATGTAAAGGTGCAGAAAATTACATTAAATTTGTTTTGTTTCATTTATTTTGTATAATTTCAGAGTGTCTCAAGGTTTAACGTATGTGACTCTACCTCCAGAATCTCCTGGCTGGGGCTAAATACGGTTAGTTCTTTTATTTCATTTTTTCTATTTCTCCAGACTGGTGGAGAGGGGTTATGCCAGTTTAGGTTGGAAGAACTTTCAGATATTTTACCCTATCACTGTTACTGACACAGACATGTTGTTCACATGAGACAAACTACAGATAGACTGGGCATGTTTAAATCCGGATTCATAAACTGAGCACACTTTTGACAATCCTTCTTGAATTTTCCCTCAGTGAACACAGTATGGTGTTGTTTGTTGTAAATAATTATTTTGATATGCCTTGAAGTCTTCTCTGCTGTGATATTAGGAGCAGTGGGATCCAATTCTTGAAAATATTTTCAAAAGTAACCTTTGTGCTATTTCTTACAGATTCTTGCTATTCAAAACGAACAGTTTATGTAAATATTCTGAAATATTTGGGTTACAAAATAACAGTGAGAAGTATCATGCCCAGTTGCTAACGGGTAGAAAGTGGCCAGAGTATAATTCTGGTACAGTTTTTAGCAGAATTTTTCGCGATTCTTGGAGGTTTGGTGGAAAATTTCCTTGGTTCTCATTGGTTGAATATTTCCTCACTGTGTTCCCATTGCTGGAAGTGTCAAAGAATTGTAACTGAATTTGATTGGAGGAAATATTGTTACCCTGTTCTGATTGGTGAAAATATTACTCTGCTTTAATTGGTGGAAATTGTTGTTAGCCCGCTATGATTGGTGGAAATTTTACTGTGCTTTGATTGGTGGAGATATTACTCTTCTCTGATTGACCATGATCCGATAAGATGAAATTTTACCGTGCTCCGATTGGAGGAAATATTGTTACCATGTTCTGATTGGTCTATATACTGTATATTATGTAATTAACAAATATATATATGTATATAAATTGTTATATGTAACTTAAAATTAAAACTCTGAACTGTGACTTTAGCCTAACTTATGGCGAGGTACATGGTTAAACTTGTTTAAATGTTGTTACTATGACAATCTCAAAATAAGCTGTATATATATTTTTGCTAAGAATGAAATTGTGCTTCAAATTCACAAGGAAATCAACTTTACTGTCTGAAGTTTTCTGGTTAAAATAATATAACTGTGGTTGAACAAGAAACAATTTTATTTTACAAGGATAATAATAAGGTTCTCAAGGATCTTGTCTACCAGCTGGTCCTTGGTATTAAAAATAGGACTGGAATTATGAGGTTCTGTTTGAAAAAACTTCCAAGATATTTGAGCATATTCAGATCTTAAAGGAATACCATCTCTTAGAATGAACATGTGATATAAATTCTCAAACCTGACCAACAAGAGTATATATTTTCAGCAGTGGCCTTACTGGTGTCATAACTATACAACAAAATCTGTGTATATGACGAAAAATCCATAAAACCAAGTAATTTATATCATTCTAATAAGTAGTATTTCTTTAAGATAGAATTCTATTGAAAATCACATTGTAAGACAGTATTATTTCAGTAAAACTGAACCCAGTTCCTAAAAGAAAATCATGTTTTCATATATTTCTCTGTTGACATTACTCAATTCTAATTATTTTATAAGTAAAATTCATTCCAGAATACTGAGAGATTTCAGTGAGAAATTGAGATGAAATATTATAATGAATGTTAATAAATATTCATATCGATTGTTTGTATTTTATTCTTGAATGGTTGTATACAATAACACTGGCCACGTATTCTCAAAATGATCTAAGCACTTGGATGTCCTAGAAACCATGCTGGAAGTAAATACCCTAAGACATCTTAGCGCTAAGATCGTTTCGAGAATACACAGCCTGTCAGGATCATGTAGACCTCCCAAAAGAGGGTGGGAGTTAATCTGACTTGGGAGTTGGGGCCACAGAATTCCTTTATGCTGAATGATATAAAAATTGAGGGTAGGAGGCCGAAAGCAGGGACAAACAACACTGATACTAGATCTCCCTTAAATCAATGGGTGCAAATATAACAAATTGAAAATGGTTTTATTTACAAATTAATGATTGACAAGTATAAAATAGTTGACACGATTCAAGATCTTCAGGTATTAATGGAAGAAAAGCAAAGATATATATGAATATCCATGGTCAGTTTTAAAAATTATTTTGAGGCAAGTTGCGTAATAATATACAATCTTTAACTGAACAAAGATTATGCATATCTGGATCTACACTAACATAAAAGGGTTTTAATTGAATTGCAGGAGAACTTGACATCTAATATTAAATCTCTAAAGAGATACAGATAGCTTAAAGTAAACTGGAGCCTTATTCTCGAAAACTTAAATTAAGATGATTTTAGTGTTCAAGTAATCTGATTGGTCAATCACTAAAATGATTTTAAATTCAGTTTGTTTTATTATCTAAAGTTTAGTGTATTTCTTAACCTTGGGATTGTATTTAAGGTAAGTTTTCGAGAATAAGGCCCCTGATATAGTAAATATTCAGACAACTATATAGATAGCAGACATTATCAGCCGGTAAAGTTAAAGTTTAGAGGATTATACAGACAGCTGAAATTCTGAAATAAAGCTGGTAAAGTGAATATTTTGACTGAATTCTGTATCAGCTGTTATAACTCTATGGTGACGACATCCAACTGTTCTGGCGGGATCTTGTATCGAAAAATCTCTCGGGAGTGCGGGATTTTAAATACAAAATCCCTCTGCCGTGTTTTCCCCTAAACATAAAACCACCTTAATATAAAGTAGACAGTTTAAATCAAACAGTATGAGTGTAAATGAATATAATCTTTGCTCAATAAGCCAAAATGCAAGGTTTCACTTAATGATTTGAGCTGCCTTACCGAACATATCTGGAAAATAGAGTCAAATCAACAGCCCTAGATTCAAAGAAAGATGATAAAATGGAATTTCACTATAATGATGTATAAATGAATCAGCACTATGTCTGTTTTGTAGGTCAACTGGCGCCATCTTGCCCCACGTTTAATCACTGTCAGAAGAACTGCTGGAACTTCCGAAAATCTCCTCTTCATCTTTCTTTCCTTTCGTATCTTCAGCCTCACTTTCACTCTCACTTCCCTTACTTCCTGCGTCACTATCGCTACCGCTACCACTGGAGCTACTTCGACTTCCGCTTCGAGACCTGCTGCGACTTCCACTTTTACTACGACTTCTACTTCTACTCTTACTTCGACTCCGCCTACTTCCACCTGATTGGACGCTTCGTTTGTCTTCATCGTCACTTTTCTGTTCCTCATCTGATTTATTTTCATCATCTAAAAGATAATTAATAATATTTTAATTGATAGACAGTATCGTGATTGTTACCATATGATATCCCAGAAAACAAGTCATATGATATCCCAGAAAACAAGTCATATGATATCCCAGAAAACAAGTCATATGATATCCCAGAAAACAAGTCATATGATATCCCAGAAAACAAGTCATATGATATCCCAGAAAACAAGTCATATGATATCCCAGAAAACAAGTCATATGATAATGGATCAGTTTGAAACTTATTGGATCCCTGATCGAAGGCATCATCTTACCTGATTTATTGGTTATGTCTGGTAATTGTGGTTCCATTTCTTCTTCTTCTTCCTCGGCCGGTGGTTCTAACAACGTTAATCTCGATTTCTGAAAAATAAATAAAAGTTTGCATAAAGAGGAAAAAAGGCATGTCAAAAAGTAAAACATGCTGTGGTGTAATCATATTGGAAAGATACAACGTGAAGAGTGATATTGAACATATGACGTCAAAATACAGAAAGATAAAAATAGTAACAAACCTGCGCTGCCTCTTCCTTATCATTAAATGGCCGATGTTTTACAACTAATCGTGATTTAGCAGCTTGTGTTCCTCCTAATTTTCTTCTCTTACTCAATCGTACCCTGGAAAAATAGAGTGATAAGAAAATATGGAGATACATAGTAATAACAAACACGAAATTGGGTGATAAGTCTTTGAGTAATAAATGACTGTTGTAAAATAATAAAACAAACAGTTGGTTTTAAAATTCAAGAGTTGAGTAATATCAAAATCTCTTATCAACATATCCCACTTTTGACAAAAATTTAATTAAGACTTGCATCAACTAACTGTAGTTTTTTTTTTACCATGATGTATTTGAAGTAGGCTTATCATGTTAGATATCAAACCTGGGATTAAAAAATACTGCAAATATCTTGTATACCTTGTTTCTAATTCATCATAATAAACACCATCTTCTCTGAACACAAAGAAATATGTCTCCTCGTATCCCTTAGATAGTTTATTTTTGACATTCCAGTTGTATTCTCTAGCTAGAGTGTAGTCATATCTACAAATATCAATCATACAACAGTTCATATCTTTCATTAGACGTCCATGTTCAAAAAATTGTTCGGGGTTTTTCAAGTTCTTATGCAAGAATCCAACTAGCTAAATGTATTGCAACACGATATTGTTTAGAGTTCAACTCATTGAAGAGGAAAAGAAATGAAGCTAATGTCCTTTTATTCTACTAAATTTCAGGCTTATGAAGATGGTAATGCCTTTCAGAGTGCCAGGAAGGAGCCCTTAATCCAATCTTTTTACAACATGTGATGACAGCATAAGTTAAGCCTGGGTTAAATGATTCTAAAAATAATAAATCTTACTCTTCATCTTCAACATAATCCTGTCCGTCCTCAGCATCACGTTTACGTTTTGTCAGGGTCTCGTCTGTTGGTAAGAAATAGGCTACAAACTGTTCACCACTCTCATCTACAGCTCCTCTATAATACATAGATAAAATATACATACATACAAAGAAGATTAAGTTAACAAATTGGTGATAAAGAAAGTTATTGTTGTTATCATAAAGGCAAATCATTTCCTCTATTTCAGTCAATTCTACTCGCAATATGAAATCCTATATAGCCCGATGTCTCTTCAACATTTAGATTAAACGATGATGTATGAATCGTGTACATATAAAATATTTGTAATTAACGGATTATCGCCCGGCTCTTAAAAGATCAACTCTTACCTAATCATAGCTTGAGACATTTCCTCCATTTGTACAGGTAGAGATTGACCTTTAGGCGCAGGGTCAGAATCAAACAAGACTTGGGCAAATGGATGCTGCCATAACTAAAAAAGAAAAGTTTATTATGATATTTCAAGAGTAGAGAACTAAAGCTTTTAGTAGGTCACCAGTAGAATGGTCATTATTGCTATTCAAGAATAAAATACTATGTTGGTCTTTCAAATATGTTTTAGTTTAGACTGATGGTCAAATGCCACTTTCCTCCTAATGATTGCTTCAATAGCACTTATTGAATATAGCAGTTATTAATACCTTACATACATACTGATTGAACAAATCAAGAAGAGCAACACCATGTGCTAAAGAATAAGAAGAGTTCAGTTAAGGTAAGGTAACAGTGACAAAACAATACCTTGAAATCTGGGAATACAGGTAAAACTTCTACAGGTTTAACATTAGGTTTACTGTAATGTTTGACAATCTGAAAAATAAGAAAAAAATACAGAATTTTAGAAGGCTTTACTTAATTCTTGAGAAAAAGGCAGTTTCTATGTAGAACTTGACTAGAAATGAAATGAATGAAGTTTTACGTCATACGCTTCTGCAGATCTTAAAGATCACACGACAAACAATCCAATGTCATCATCTTATAAATGTTCATAATGTGACTGATTGACACTTACCTCTTCTTTGGCTGTATCAAATGTTTTTTCAATGGCTGCTATTTGACTGTCTCTATCTTTGTACATGTCATCATCTCGCATCTTCTGTTTAATTTTAAATCCAACCCTAATCAAAAACAAAATTGATGATCATTTAAAAGGTATAAATGTCTTAGACATGTTGGGTATGATGATTTTGAGTTCAAATTTTGGCAACCCTACACAAAAATCACTGTTTTTCTTGCTAAAACGAAAATGCTTAGTTAAAGCTTAAAATATGTTTCCCTTTTTTCAGAAAAAGTCTTGTAAACTAGACAAGAAAAAAAAGGATACCAAGTAAATTGGCCTATACTTTTATGACATTAACACTAATAAGCAGAAAAAATAAAATGGAAAATTTAATTTTAACAAATCTTCCCTAAACCTGAATATTATGGTGAAAACATCTGTTGTATCTGAGACAAGATTTTTTAACCTTGAATAAAAATTAAATCATGTACATACCTGATTTCAGATTTATCTGCTTTCTGTATAAATCTGTTATATTCTGTAGAAATATACTCTGTTTTACGCAACCATGATACATTGGTATTGTGATGTCGTGATCTGAAAAATCAAGTAAGGAATAGTTTAATAGCCACACAGAATATTCCAGTTCTGCCTTCACTGTAACATGATAAACAATATGAAACTAATATCAAACCTTTTAGAATCAGCAGGAGTATTGAGTTCATCTTCCAGTAATTTCTCATCTTCTGCCTCGGGATAAACTATAAAACAATGGTTAGAATGATTTTAAATTACTAATATGATTATTTGTCTTCCATTTCCAATCATGTTACGATATGTATCACATTATAAGGGCTATTAACAGTAATTTGATCCAGATTAGATGGGAAGGTTAATGTTTGGACAAGGATCAGTTGGTAGCTGGGATCCTCGTGAACCAAAGTTGTTATCCTAGAAAAAAATGGCTTTTCTTTATGTTCATGACTTACCATTGTGATCAAATTTATAAGTATCAGGATTAATGAGGTCTATAGTAACACCTAGATCATGTTCAGTTAATAAATCATATTTATACAGACGTTCTAATGATGTTGGCTTATACTGGATAAATCTGTTGGAGAAAAAATATAATTTGGAATAAAAACAATGTGGAATAGCTTAACTTAGTCTTAGACGGTTGGATTCTTGTCTGCTAGGCAATTAGGTGCAGTGAATTCAAATCCTCCTATTCATAAGAATAATTCTGATGCCATTCTCGGCTAAAATTCAGCCAGTGTCGACTATCAAGTCCTATCTAGTGTCTACTGACACTTCACAGGATGGCATAACCCAACTTTTTGGTTTCATACAATTAACCTTATTTTCTGAGACATTAAAAATGAAACACCCCCCCCCCCCCCCTTTATTTTTTTCAGAATAAAATGAACAACTGAAAATTACCTGTTACTTTCAAAAGGATAAGTGATGAATTTAGGATCAAAGGGAATGTCTGGTAGTGTGTTACTATATTTAACTCGACATAACAAGTCAGACCTGAAAATATAGAGAATGAAAGAATAACTGATGTCCACTAAACACTTTCAGGCTATCATAAATTGCATCTTACGCTTATCAATTCTGTCAAAAATATCTATCAGAAGCTGAAAGATTTTGAACAAATGACCTGATATGATGAATTGATAGGGAATATTGCCTTGGCCAATATCATTATTATTCATGACTATATTTAGCTAGATCTAAGCAACATTTCACCATCTTTCTATAAAATAGATTAAGTTTCTTTCTTAACTTCCAAAGCACATGACATCACATATCACAAAATGAAATGTTCCAAAGCAGTTAGAGTTTATTGGATAAATACCAAAATCTGAAAAAAGTAAAGTGAATATTGACATTGAAAGATGTAGTTTTAAAGACAAACCTCTTCTCTCCTGGTCTCGTCCTTTTCTCTCTGTCTTCTCTAGATCCAGTCTGTATTGTTGGTGGCATTTTGAACAGATATCAACATTCAAAGGACATCAAAATTCAATAACTAATTTCTTTCTTTCTTTACAAGCATTTTAACCGGAATCCATTAACGTCCTTGACCTTGCGTGAGAGTTACTTGCCCTTCGTTAATAATTCAAGATGGCTGCGCCCACACCGATGCAAATCCAACAAATGCAACAGCAAATGAGTCAAATGCAACAGCAAATGAGTCAACAACAGATGACTCAGCAACAAATGAATCAGCAGCAAATGAATCAGCAAATGAACCCTCACATGAACCCACAAATGAACCCCCAGATGAGCCAGCAGATGCAACAACAGGCGCATCCCCAGTCACAGCAACAAAATCAACAACAAATGCAACAACAACAGGTCCAGGCAGCAGCCGGTCAGCAACAGCAACAACAACAACCACAGCAACAGCAGCAGCATAGTGGTGACCTTGACCCAATTTACAAGTTCAAGGCTCTGCTGCCTAGACTTAAAGAAAGTTTATCAGTAAGCAGTGGTTTATTTGTTGTCTTCAGGTTTTATCACTATGCATTTTGGGATAAGTTTATAGTTATTTTCACTATGGCGTCTTTGAAATTTGCTAATCTGACAGAGAACTGCTATTCTGCCCAGCTCAGCCATCCAACCTGCATTTTAAGAATTCTACTATCTAGCCCCGTGCTCATATTGAAATAGTCTGTAACAATCCACTATTCAATGATTACTATGTTCAAAATTCAGATTACTGAAATGTCTAATGTTTAAAACCAGATCTGAATAATAGGCAAAATAGTTTTTATGTTACCATTTTCAGAATTTATTCAGAGCAGCAGGAGATGTTTTTAAACACCATGCTTCACAAGATAGTGGAAAGTAGGTTGAATATTTATATTATTTAATTCTGTGTCAAGAACAGCTCACATCTTTTTAGCTATTGTTATATGTTGATATTTTGAATTCCAAACCTAATTTTCCCTTTAAGATTAAATAATTTTGTGTTTCATGGTACTGGTATGATTCATCTGCTATATGAGGGAATTTTAAAAGTTATAAAACTATCTAAATAGAATCCATTCATTAATTACAAAACTGAATAAATAGGAGTTGAAGATTTGATGGCTGGTGTCATAGCTAAGCACATAAATGTCTAATATATATTTTGTGATATTTTCAGTAGAACTGGTGATAGTCCACAGCAGAAATTTGAAAAAAGTTTAGAAGAATTTTACGCTTTATGTGATCAAATGGAGATTAATTTGGTAAGTTTCTTAAAAGTTTCTGAAAAGTTTTTTAAAATAAATTTCTTATATATATATGTTTTAAAGAACATAAAGATTTTGTTGTTGTTGATAATTTCTTAGTCAGACTAGATGTTCTTACATAAACCTGAGGTAAGCGTGTTCAGTTTAAATTTGTATATGTTATTTATCAAACTAGTTTAAATTCTGACCCATGTAAAATAAAGAGTTTATTATTGTTGTCTCTGAAATTTTACAAGTATTTGACTTAAAAACCGACTGATTTACAGAAAACTGGATTGAAATAATAATTCATTCCATTGAATATTTTTGGGCTCTTACCTTGATAATTTTTTTTTAATACCTTTTATTTTGATTTTTAGAAATTTGCCTTAGAAATGCATTGCCAGTCCCTGGACAGTATGAAATATACCCCTCATCATGTAACATCTAGTATCAAGGACAGCCAGCAACCCGACACCATGCCCTACCCCCAATATCTACTGACAGTCAGAACACAAATAAACTGGGCTAAAGAAATGCATGATGTGTTATCAGAATTTTCAAAAAATCTGGCCACAGATCAGATAGTGGCTAAGTGAATATGTGACTTGTGAAAAATCAGTATTGAAAGAGTGAATATGTCCTGAGTGAAAAGGAAAAATCTAGGATTGGATTAACATGGGCTATGGTTAGTGGTACCTGCAACACTGATTATAGTGTACTGCTCATCTATTAGACACCCGCCAACTTTCTATTGAACTCTTCGACACATGCATACTTTCTATCAATATGATACTGTATATGATTAGTTGGAAGAGTTCATTTCTAAATTTAGGGTTTTTTTGTTGCTGGTCAAATAATAGTCTTGTGTTCAACGACAATTTATAATATAGGTGATATGAGCTTATCAAACTATCCTGAACATCAAAGCTAGTTCAGAACTGATGGTTCAAGCTCTCAAAATGTTGTCTTTGAGTATTGAGAAAATAAAAATACCTTCTTTAAAATAAATTTATTATAAATTAAAAAAATAATCATAATTTAACAAAACATTATGTATTCAGATCATTTGAATTGTGAATGAAAATTGAATTTGTGAATTAATTAATGCATTAAATGCTTATCATATAGTTTTATTTTGTTGGATATAGAAATGTTGTTTAAAGGTAAAATGCAATTCATAATTTAGAAAAACATTAGATCACAATATCTGAATTATACTTTTGGATGGTATTTAAAGAGATGCTACCTCTTAGAATGAACATAAAATTCAAACCTATACCAGTACAACAGAATCGCTGTATAACCTGATCATTCCACAAAACAAAGTAAGCACTAGGCAATAATTATGTTGTTTTATGGATTGATTCTGTTGTATAGTTATGACACCAGGTAAGTGAATGAATATCTACTCTTATTGACCAAGTTTGAAAATCTAAAATTTATGTTCATTCTAAGAGGTCATATTCCTTAACACTAAGATATGATGCAATGAAATTGTAGTGCGTCATTCCGCAAGTCAGCCCTTTTATGAAATTTTTTTTTTTTTAAATGTGCAAGCTTATATATAAACAAATAAAAATTAGAACATATTGATATTGATGAGATCTATAGGCAAATAAGATATATCTACTGGCTCTTATTCGCTGAGTTTAAAATTCTTAAATTTTATGTTAATTCTAAGATGTAATATCACTGTAAAATGTATGTGTATAAAAGACACCAATATAATTAATATGCACCATTCCAATTTCAGTCAGACATCTGTAGATCTCACTAAAAGTAATGCAATCTCTTTATGCATGTCAACCCACAGTGAAGAATTCTATTCTATATACTCATATTCTATAACTACATTATCAGTGTATTTCTTTATATAATGATTTTCTTGTTCCTTTAATAACCTCTCTCTTCTTTTATAACCTGCTAACTTGATAAAGAATAACCTGAAATATTGAAATATTGATTACCAAACAGAAATATAACAGTCTTAAAATTTGACTGTAGGATTACACAGAGTACACTGTACTTAAAGCTAGGTACACTTTCTGAATTTATCATATCCAGCATTCAACTGAAGAATTACAATTACTGAAGATTACAGTACATGCTCACTCCCATGATGATACTTGATACAACCACGGCACGTCAAATTTTCTGGCAATCTATGTGCTTCATACTATGAAATTAAGAAGAGTAAAATCTGATTGTTATGAGAAGTACTTACAAAAAGATAAAGAAATCTAGAACATGTATAGCCCCCATAACTATATACACAGCCCCTCTATAGTAATCTACAGTAGCTTTATAAATCAGGTTAAATGGGGGACCCCCTGATGCATACATAAGGGCTTCCACAAACGCCAAACTAGCAAACACACAACCTGAAAACAGAATTCAAAACAGGTATAAAATTCAAAATAAGATACTATGATTACTTGCAGAATGTTTAGCGGTCTGAGTCCATGTGACAATGGACAAAATCATCTCCCTTTAGTCTTCAGGGAAATGGAGAAAATTGTCTCCCTTTAGTCTTCAAGAGCGTATGTTTGTGATATCATAGAACTGTAGTTCTATGGTGATATGTTATCTAACAATTTTCTACCGCACCCCGTTCATGACGTTATTTTAAACCAATCAAATCTTTTCAACATAATGACCAATTATGGGATAGCAAAATCCTATAGAGGCTAAAATATTGCTCTACTTTGAGTTTTGCTTAAACCTTACCTAATCTACAACATGAAATTAAAATGTCTTGAACCATATTTTAATCAGATTAATTGAGAACCAGATTGCCGGAATTTTTAACATAGTTATGATATTTTTGCCCGAAAAACTTGCTTTCGGGGCAGCCCCCCCTCCCCCTCCTTTGGCTGCGCCACTGTTGAGAACCAACCTTGTCTGTCTTTAGGTACCATCTGTGATATTACAGATCTGTTGACTGCCATGCTACCAAAAAATAACATTCCTATCACCGGTGCTGAAATATTAACATTATTAGTTTATTATAGTTTGGTTATAAATCATACAGCACATTGAGACCTGATTATAAGATTTCCATTACCTTCAACATTTAACTTCAGGAGAGTGCCCACATAAGCCTCACCTGCTTCGAGTCGGGATAAAATTACTGAGTAGAATGCTTTAGATGTCCAATTGACAATGGAAAGATGTGTCGACAACACCAGATGTCCTCTGGATAAATACAGGATGGAAGATAGTGTATAATTGAAACTATAAAATGCTTACCAAAATATAACATCATATCCGAATCACAAAAACTGATGTAAATTTCTCTGGCACCAATGGAGACAACACCTAATAGAGCTATAGTACCATCTGAAAACCGCTTCTGCATTACTCGTAGAAATCCGAGGCCTACAAGCGACAACAAACCCATAGTGGCTGTACTGTACCATCCTATTTTGATAGGATCCCAACAGAATGGTGCGTTCAATTCGTACAGTGTATCGATAGTCTGACCCGACACTAAAGGACCAATCATTAAAAAGAAAAAGCCAGACGACGCCAGCCAAAAGAGATGCCTCTGCCCAGCATAATCCTTGTGATAATAAAATCTGAACACATTCTGAATCCCTATAAATGGCGAGACGAACGTTTTCGGTCTATCAGCCAGCGTTTCGGATACACAACATAATGCGATGAGGAGACCTACAAGAGTTGAAGAAACGGAGGTTACCATTGGATAGAAATATCCGACGTTTTGAATAAAATATCCCGTGATCACGAAACCGAAAGTGTTGGCCAAGCCGATACACAGCGTGAGCACTCCCATTATGAAGGTCCTTGATTTAGATCTTGCGGTGTGATCAGCCACAAATGCGTATGTTACGAGTAAAAATGCGCAAAATCCTCCACAACATGCGTCGATTCCATATCCGATAAATAAATAATCAGTATCAAGATGCCAATAAATAACAACAGCCAAGCACAGATTCCGGGAAAAATGACCACATATGGCGACAATAAATATCGTCTTGCGTCCCAAATAATCCACGTAAGCACCGACCAGGATAACCGTAAAAATGACTGGAATAGAGTTCGAGAGTGTCAGAGACAACAATTTTTCAGTCGTAACTTGCTGAACGTGTTCTTGTATTTTAAAATACGGATCAGATTCGTTTTGAAAACAGACGGTACGCGTTTGTTGGTATTGGACAGACACGTTCGTTCCATTATACAACATTTCAGCAACTCTTGAATACATATACTGCGGCAGGACAATATTGCAGATCTGCGTTCCCAGCGCAACAAAAATGGTCACTATATTCACGAAGACTAAGTTTTTTGTGTTATTTTCCAAATATTCTAAGGACTGTTCCAATTCGTCTCCAGTTGGCGTTGCTGAACTGCTTTCAGGCAGAACTGGATTCAAAATTCGTCGTTTCTCTGAGTTTTCGTCCTCCATTTTGACTAGACTTAAAACTCTATTAGATCTCTTCTTCTAAAATAAACTGATTTACACCTTCATCAACTGTTAAAGGATACAATCCGATTTGTCAGACTTCACAAAGACAGAACCAGGTCCAATGTGGAGAAGATGGTACGCATCGTAGTTCAAATCGTGTTATTTAGGTGTTGTTACCAAAGTGTACTATCAATTTGCATTTGTAATTAAAATGTACATTGACACATAATCTGAGTAAATGCCTATTGTTGAAAAGTTTTGACGACTATCCTTCTAAATGCAATATAAACTGTATAAAAAGAATTTAGTTGAATGCACAGGACTTCAAAGTTGGAGATATCTCTCAATTTACCTTACTCACAAACCTACACGAGGCATGCAACCAGTCCTTTGTTGACTTTAAGCGGTCGTAATCAAATTACAATATTTCCTTGTTGAAAACGACCTCATTCACCAATATTAAACAGTTATCCTTGAAACTAGGATGTAGGTGTCAACACTGAAAATAAAATTTCCAAAAAATTGTAGTAGCACATGACTTGGTGAATTGATAGTATGTTTTATGTTCAAATTTAATGGAGTTTTACGTCCTACTCTGCTGCAGACATAGCATTGGTTATGATATAAAATATAAAATAATTATATCATCATAATCGATATTTCAATATTACTTATAATAGGACCAATAATCTATAATGATTAATATACTTCTATTATCATGTTGAGAGGTATTGTTTTGATAAATAAAATTCATTTCTTCATGTCAGGTGCTTATGGGTATACCCAGCTACCCCCTCCCTACCCCGTCAGCCAACAAATCCTGGGAATGTATTGTTTTGATAAATAAATTCTATTTCTTCGTATCAGGTGCGGAGTTTCTATCTTTCTCATGACGGCTTTTATTTGCATCATTCCAGTTTTCCGCCAGATGTCCGCAAATCTTGTACTTATAAAAACGTGGCACAAACCCGACGAGTGATTCTCAATCTGTTTTCTACTAGCACTGAACTTTTTAATATGGATCCTACCATTGGCTCATAATACTTATTCGAAATTATTAGTACATTATTAGTATTCTATCGAACGTCATAGTTCAAAATGTATCTGTTTAAAATGGGGAAGTAAATGCGAAAGGAAGTAAAAGTTGGTTTATTTCAGATACTTCCGTGAGCTACTTCTTGACAGATTGTGGCACAATGGTAATGAACCGCCATTATAATTTCATACAAGCACTTACCACATAGTTTCTCTTTACTGGCCTCAAGGAAAATAAATTCAAAACGATTAATCTTATTTTATTGCAGTCATACTGACACTGAGTAAACATAATGTTTAAATGATTTAAAATGCATAATCACGTAAATAAAATTGCTGCCGAATTACATTTAAAAGCCTATATACTGGCCTAATAAGGCAGTTTACGAAGAAGATGCAATCTAAACTAGCTATTTGACATTGTTCTGGGTCAGGGATCAGTAGATCTAGTCAGTCAAATAACAGTACTTTGACAATCAGACACTTACTGATATTAATACTTCCGGTTTCATTCCGATTAAAATACATACCTTATGGTGTTAAACTCTAAGCATGTTTTCAGTCACGGCCTGGGGAAGGTTAGACCATATCTTCTAAATCCAACCCACCACTGAGTTTATCAATTCCACATCTTTTCTAAAGTTTCACAATTCCTTTGCTACTCAACTTCTGGATTTATCAGCTGTTTCATTGTACGACTAAAGCTACCAATTATGTTCGTTCTATATCTCATTGTTCTATTTTCTCCATTATAACATCTGTCATAGGGCAAGTAATTTCAACTTCTAAATTTACCGACAGTCTTTTAAAGTTGGCATCCCATCGCTGATCACATCAAGTGAAATACTCCACAAAAATGTCTAATGGTTCATGAAGTCTGCATTGTTTAACGAATTTTCAGTTTCAGAGAGAGCCGAAGTAAGCAATTAAAATCCCTGTTTTCTAATCCTTTTATAAATCTAAATGATTAAGATAAAGTATTTCTAATTCTACCTCGCCCAAACACGCTTTATCTTTGTCGTGTGTATGTTTTTAAAGTCTTGAGTTATTTTTAAAACCTGCTGTGTCACTGTGGAATATAGAATAGGTCTAAAGTCTAACTAGAGCCGTTGGCCTGCTGAGTGTCAATAGAACTAGTAAAATAGTTTTGGGTGAACGTCTCTGGGTCTTACGTTACAGCTAGTCGAAAGAGAATGGGTGTTCAAATTATTGAATGAATGGTGAATGGAGTTCGCTTTTGAATAACCATTCAATTGAATTCGCAATCAAAATTCCCACTATTTTAACACCCAGAGCCGTATATACGGCTCTGTTAACACCTGTATGATTTATTTGTAATCTGAATTCGTCAATTTATATTAGAGTTATTCCCCTTTACACATTTGTCTAGAAAAGAAGACGAGAAATAGTGATCGTGAGAAAATCAGAGACGTAAACAAAAGTAACATAAATTTGTTTAGTTTTCTTAAAATATTTTGTTGGGGTCGTAGATTAGGCCTACCCATAACTTTGGATATTGTAAGAGTGACAACCGTCCTCGTTAGGATACAATTTCTCTGAAATCAGTTTTGTGTTTCGTTTCACAAAGCACAGAAGTTCATCTCAGCCAACTCACTCAACTTAATCTTGCTGTTATTTGACCACACTGCCACAGACTGAGTACACATTAGACCAAAATATCTGCTTCTATTCTAGACTTGATAGCTATTTTGATAGTTGTTGACTGGTCTAGAGACAGAAAAACTAGGCCCTGTTATGTTGAGGTTTTCCGCATCTCAGCAGGAACAGGTTTTTTACCCTTATTAGATACATTCGATCAGCCAAACCCAAAATTAATCGGAAAGATGGATATTTTTGTAGTTCACAATTACAATACATATACAAAACATGGATTAGGAAAAAAGAACAAGCTTATGTAAATCTTTCTCCATGTTCTTTCAATGCCAAGAGGTTTGGCTAAAACAGTCTGGTAGAAAGGATCCTTATGAACCCAAGTTGTTATCCTTTTTAAAAAATTGTTGTTCCTTTTAGTTTTCTTTGGGTTTGACCAGATCATTCACTTTGACATGGGTGAAAAAGTTTGGTTCCCTTCGGACTTGAAATGTGAAAAAGAGACTAGTTCTCAGCTGGTCCCCACCAAATGTATCAATAGATCTGCACCCCTGCACTTTGTCACCTTTGCTTCACCATATCCTTAAGAGAGCCATAAAGTATTTTGGTTTTTTTTTTCAGATTCAATCATGAAACAGTTTTAGGCTCAGATCTATGTAGTGTACATGTTAAGACGGACAGATACAAAAAATAAAATGTAGGCCCAGCCATACTTTAAGTTGGTGGAAGTGATAAGAATGGAGATAGATACAATGAAATGGCAGCCTGTGTTGTTTATCTCAACACTTTATTGGTTGGTAGGACATACTTTGGATGTGAACCCACAACATGAACGCTACTTACCCGATTACACCAAATACCACAACCTGTCGCGGATTCAGGACCATATCTCTGACCTAACCAGAAATAATCCCAGTTATATGTCTATCTCCAGGAGATTTAGATCAAAAGAAGGAAGACCACAGATGTTATTGCATTTAACAAATTTTAGTTCGTCTCAAAGCGTTCCACATTCCTATCCTCATACCCAGCACGTCCCAAAAATAAAAATATTACTTTCGTACGGGGAACATGCTCGCGAATTCATGCCAATAGAAACATTGTTTTATTTATTACAAAATTTAACAGAAGGTATCCGAGCCCCACTTGCAAGTTTTGAAGAGTCGTTCAGCAGGACTATATTAACTAAATTTGATATTTATGTGATAGTTATGGCCAATCCAGATGGTCGTAAAATTGTAGAAAAGACTCATAATTATTGTTGGCGTGGGACCAGCACCGGTGTTGATTTAAATCGTAATTTTGATTGGGAGTTTGGAAATATTGGAAGCTCGTCGAATAAGAAAGATGAAGAGTATAGAGGGCCTTTTCCCTTTTCAGGTAAATTTCAAAGAGATTTCTTTGTGGACCATTCAGAGTCTGGAGTATATTGTTAACCTTATTGCAAGGTTTTATTTAACTGTAGTGAATCACCCCAAAATTTATAATGTTGTCTTTCAAATGTAACCCAGATTTCCCCTGTCAGTGATGCATGGCTGACATAGGTTTCAGAACTGACAATAAACTGAGGCACCGTGTGCTACAGACTGTTAAAAAAATCCCCAAAATTAGCGCACCTATTGTGTCTTATCTTATCCGTACCGTTGTTAGATCAGCCATAGAGAACACGCAATTACATGACAGTGCAAATAGCCAGTGCGTATGTAATTATTGATGAGTATTTTTATATATTGATATTTCAGAAGAAGAAAGTGTTGTGTATACAGAAATTACTGGTTCTACAGATTTTGATGTTTTTATCAGTTTTCACTCAGGAATTAGACATATTTATCTCCCTTTTGCTGGTAAGAAGAAATTTTCTCTTTCCAGTTACTATGATAGAAGTTTGTTATATTTTAAAATTAGTTATTTCTTTCACCATTTTTCAGCACTGTTTTTCTAACTGTTGACCAGTCTTGTCTGGCTGTATCTGTCAGATGTCTTGTGTGGAAGTAGGATGTTTCTATATATCAAAATGATCCAGATTTTATGGGTTTTTCTCATATTCCCAAAGATAATCGGCAACAACTTGGTATCAACCATTTAGTTACATATTCCAATAAAGAAGTATGGTTGATTGAGTTTATATTTGAATTGTCCATATTCTTGTAATACCCTTGGTTTGTGCTTTATTTTAGATACAGTGTCTAAGATGTCTAACAGAGAACCCTATCATATTAAAACAATGGAAGATCTAGCCAGAAAACTGTCCAAGTCTACTAACCACCTTTATAAATACGGTAAATCATATGAACTAGGCCAATATACAGCTGATGGTACTATATTTGATTACATGGCAGGAAAAAGACAGGTCAGTTTCTCAATTTCTAACCTTATAAGTAAAATTATTTAAAATGTAATAACAAAATACTTATTTAATTTTTGTATGCACTATTTTCTAGATACCAATATGTCTGGCTATAGAACTGTGGGGTAAAGAAAATCATCAGGGACCAAGTTGTTTTGATGAGTTCAATCCACCCAATACTATTTTACAGGTAGGTAGGGTTGATTTGATTACTTCTTTGGTCTACCATTTATCAGGTCACTTATAACACATTTGATTACCATTTTCGATCCATATCTTACAAATTTTTTTTTGTTTTTATTGGTTATGTTAACAAACTCTTGTAGTCCTGAATGACCAGCCTATAATGTTTGAACTACCAGAATCACATGACAATCTGGACATAGTGGTGACTATGGTTGCCTTGGGCAAAATCAAAGTTTATTGATAATCTTTGTGAGGAAAGTGTCAAAGGTCATAATCTTACAATGATTTTAAAGAGTATACCCTTCTGTAATTCTAATTATATTATAATTTTAGATAGAAGTATCTGAAATTCTACCACTCTATGTGTCAATGTTTATGTTTTTAATTCAATGGAAAGAAGAGAATCCAGATATTGTCGTAAGTAAATTATTATTTTTATATGTTAAACAAATTATGATTGTTATTTTTATGATATAAAAGCAAAAAAGTGTTTACAAAAGTGGGACAAAGTTCTGTAAATATCAGTTTTCTTATCTGCTCTCAAATCCTTTGTTGTTATTACATATAGTAATGATGTTTTGCTGCTGCACCACCAACATCTCTCATTGTGTTTTTTCGACCCCTAGCTCGGTACACTCTCTGTACCATTTCTCAATTGTTTCTTAGAACTTGAGTCTATATATTCATCAAAATATCAAAATATATTACACGCTGTCGACTTATTCCTGCCAATTGTAACGATATATGTTTAACTGTATTTACTTGTTATCTCCCTTTAATGTACCTCGCATGCGCACTGTAAAGGAAATTCTCAGTATGTCTCTCTCTAATAAATCACGTTGTTAAACTCTCTAGTCTTTTCTGGCTCACCAATCTAACTTACAAAGCAACAACGTTACACCAATCTTTGTGGTTCCTGTAATTAAAGAAATGCTTTTTCATATATGAAGTCATTATCGCAAAATCTACTACTGTTAAGGAATTATCACCTCTGTACAAGATACATATAAAATATTTAGAAAACCTATCCACATGTTCATGTGAAACATTCCTTTTAAGCTAATTCAAATATTCAAATTTTTTCAGTTTCAGAATGAGGCTCCGTCCATGATGTTTGGTTATATATTACTAGGAGTGGTGATATTATTAACGTTATTTGTGGCGGTAAATAAACGCTGGTGTCGGTGTAATAAACTGTTTCCACGGAGACGTGTGGTCAGTCTCCGATCATTAAGTTCTACTATAACCGTGTGGGGATTTTCTAGTAAAAGTTCCTGGGCATAATGTGAATTTATTTAGGAATTAAAGGTTGTTTGATTGCTGTACTTCAATTGTTTATGCTGGAGGCTGGTGCCACTCTTCTTTTTACTTCCCCAATCAAATATCTTCCCTCCCCATCACTGTGATTTTGTGAGAGAGTGAAGAAACTTCTAGAAATGCCACACTTTTGTGCATCACTTAGACTTTCTCAAGGACTCAGGGATGTTGTGTGCAACATCACATTAATCTAAATTAAGAATATTTGATTCATGCTAAATAATGTTGATGATTTAGTTTTTCTGTTCAATTCCCTGATAGCTGCTTATTCAGCGAGTACTTGTGATTAAAGACATCTTCACAGGATGATTAAATTTTCAAGGCATAAATTTAACGTCCAATGTTCATTTATTATTATAACTAATTATTATCTTTATGTTTCACTTAATACATATTTATTCTATTCAATTATCAGTTTTTAATGTCTGGCTTTTGATTGGTGTGATGAATAACTGTTATTAAATCTACCAATCAAATGTCTTAACTGCTATAAAAATGTACATTTAATAGTGTTGTGTAATATTAATCAGGCCACTCTTAACAGCTTCAGTGCAGAAAATAGGACGTAAATCCATTTGTTGATAGCTTCAATAAAGCTGAATCCATAGCAAAACTCATGGTGGCACTTTCACAATGAACTATTTGCTATAGTAATATTATTGTGTCAAAATCAGCAACAAATGTGACAGTTGCAAGCATATGAGTTAACGCCAATATTGTTTTTTATACTTTAACATTGACGAGATATTTGTCATTGTTATTTTTGTTAGTTATTTGTGAGCTATATAATGATATTTTAATAAATTATATTTTTGATACAATAATTGGTGTATTGACTGTTCAGGTGCGAATACAGGTGTGGTGTACGGTGCAGGATTATCAATACAGTAGAAAATACAAGAAACGAACCGTGTCCGGACCCGTACCTCGTCTGTTCACTTATACTACACCATACCTAGTCTATTCGCGGCTTTATAGTGAAAATCTGTGACTGTTCAAGCAAAATTGCGGGGTGACGTCATAAAACACTTAGTTTTAGTGAAATTGCAGGAACCACAGACGTCTGATTGAAAATTTGAATGGTATAAATTGATGCTATCGGTGTCCCCGATAAGCATAACAAATTCAGAAATCCTCTTTACAATCCCTTTGACCAGCCTAAAGGCATCTGAAAAATCAGAACCGAAGATATGCCAACTTTTGCTGCTTGTGGGTGTACATCATATACCATAGAACCTAGAAATGTGACTTTAGAATAATACCCCTAGCCAACAAAACACCACGGCTCTGTTCAAAGAATTTGTGCTTTAGCCTAAGGCCAATATTGTTCATTACTAATAATTATTTCTAATGACAATTCTATTTATTACGCAATTGGTTTCAATGGTAATTTCATACAATTATGAGTACAGTTTCTATCCATCATTTTTCTTAGCAATTTCACTTTTTTTAAATCTAAAAAATCTCTTTTAATAATGAATAGATATCAAATTTCAAAGAGATTTGATGAACATTCTGCTTCCATGATGGTTTTTTGAATTGATTATAGTTAACTGATGGAGATCCGTTTACGAATTTTGTTAATGTGCCCTCTGATCTGGATAATGTGGACTCTCAGAAAGTGATACCAAGTTGACAAATCCAGCGGTAGAGTAGGTTTAATCGATTTGGAACAGAAGCACACGCATCCGACATCTAACCACAGAAAACCGCCATATCTTATTCTAAGTTGCGCTGAGAGGATATTCCATTGGCATCTTTTCAAGAAGTATGGAATTGTCGGAATGTTGGATTGGCTGACGAAGTGACAGACAAAGATAAATTGACTGAAATAATTAGGGTGGTAAAGGGTGGCACACATAAAGTTCTGTTAAAGGCTAATATCTTAATTTAAACCTAACTCTGCACAAGGCTATTTAAGGATTCGGGCTCAAACCATCACAAAGATCCATTTTGCACTCATATCAATAACATTTAAAACCATCTTCGACAATGTTCCATAAACTTTTGGAAACAAACAATTGACTGTACCTTTTCATTCCATAAGGGTGATATTATGTAGGCTCATTTTTCTTCCAGAAAGATATACGTTTCATAATAACTGACTCAATGAGACTTAGTTCCAAAGAGGTTCCAGAAACTCGGGTTATTGTTTTCCTCAAAAGAATTTATTCAACTCTGAAGTGCCCTGAATTATTATTTCTTACACGAACCGAGGAGCGAAGGAAGTACTAGAAAGTTAAATTAAGGAAGTGTGCTGAATTTATTCAATGACGTTGTCAAAATTGTTTTATTTTTTACATGAACGGATTAGAAAGACCCGAAGGCTTTCCTTTTAAAGCAAGGTACACTTGTCATTATCTACACTTATCTGGACCAATTTGGATACAAATTGAAAATGAAGTTCTACTTAAAAACAGAATCTCAAGGTAGAATAAATCGAGCTAATCTATTTAGGAAGAATATGTATGGAAGGATGTGCAATTAGCACCCTCTTATGTAACACAGTTACGTGATGTGTGTTATTTCTCTAAAAAGACAGTAGTACAACAGTGGACCACTTTCTAGAATATAACCAAGAGTTAGGTGATGTCTGGTGTTTCTATAAACAACAATACAACAGTGGACCACCCTCTAGAATATAACCCACAGTTAGGTGATGCTTAGTGATTGTAAACAAAGAACACTTGATCACTCTCTTGCATATAACCCAGGGTTAGGTAATGTCTGGTGTTTCTATTTAAACCAAAAATAATACAACATTGAACCACCGTCTGGTATATAACAGCTTGAGGTTCTATCAGCTTTAGGAGTACTAAAGTGGATTACCATCTGATTTATAACCGAAAGTGAGTGTTGCCATTTAAGAATTTAAAATCTGACATTAACGTTTCCATCCCTGCGTTTCAAGGTCTAATAAATACATTAGTTGTTTGTCAAAGTGAATGCATTTAGTGATGCATAAAGCTGTGTTTCTAAGCACAATCACAGTACAATAGTAACTGTATAGCACTCATCTATTTGGATTCTACTTCCAAATTGGATTAAAAGATTAAACACGTCTTTCCTTTATTTGTCAAGAAGGTTAGATGTATTGTTAACATTCATATCAGAAACACCTTATTCCACCATTGTTACTATTGATGTCAATATTCACCTTGGCTTTGTTTTTGTTTTGTAGATCTGAATGGTTGCCAGGGAAAATAAGTTTCTGTTTTGATAAAATAAAAGACGCGACAAGTAGATCTATACATTGTGTTATATCTATCAATATTAAAGGACTATTGTTGAGTATAAAAGGTTTGTTGGTAGATGACAAGTTAACATCCGCTTCTAGCTCTCTGATATCACAGACTAGGTAGTTGTTGGTAGGTGACAAGTTAACATCCGCTTCTAGCTCTCTGATATCACAGACTAGGTAGTTGTTGGTAGGTGACAAGTTAACATCCGCTTCTAGCTCTCTGATATCACAGACTAGGTAGTTGTTGGTAGGTGACAAGTTAACATCCGCTTCTAGCTCTCTGATATCACAGACTATGTAGTTGTTGGTAGATGACAAGTTAACATCCGCTTCTAGCTCTCTGATATCACAGACTAGGTAGTTGTTGGTAGGTGACAAGTTTCCAGCTAAATTACAGACTAGGCAGTTGTTGGTAGATGACAAGTTAACGTCCGTTTCCAACCTACTGATATCACATACTAGGTAAAAAGAATGGAACATGGTCGGGCATTTTCTATGTATTAACAATATTAGACAACTCAACATCCCCTGATCGTTTATGCAATGTGTGCGTAATTTGATGCAGGTCACGGTGTTTTTGAAATCCCAATAGGTTTGATATAGATAGATATTATTCATCATTAATGTACGATATTAACTACTCTCTCTAATGAACGATGATGTACCAAATCATATTATTCTTATCTCAATCCCTGATTTGATTGCATTAATTTAAAAAACTATATCTAATACAATTAGATCGTAGATTCGGCAATGAGAAAACATAGTCTCTCGTTCAATTATTATATTTGAAACATACATATTATACAAGAAATATATATAATACTTTCAAATCGTAGATTCAGCCATGAGAAAACCGACTCCTGATCACGAAAATCATATCTACCATCTGATTCCAGTAAAATAGATCGTTTTAAATCTTCTTTACAGCTCAATTGTACATTTCAGCAGTAGAGAGACATAGTTCTGTACAACTATACTTTAGAAACATTCATATTTTACAATTATCCAGGGTAACAATAATTTAGTCCAAGAAGATCCTGATAACCAACTTGTCCTTAAAAACAAATTGTGTGTAAACTTCTGTAAAACTAAGTTGTAAATCCAGCAATAGGAAATTAGGAAAACTTGTTTCTGTGTGCTACGGGTATTATAATGTATCATAATATTATTTACAAGAAAAACAACTTAGGTTCTTGTCTGCAAGTTGGTCCTGGAAAACAGACTGAATATTTCAGCAATTTAAATAAACAGACAGCTGAGAATCTATTATACAACATATAAGTAGATTTTTTCATTGACATGATAACAGACTGCGTAATAGAACTATTTTATAGCTGTTATTCTAATTCGCATCAAAAATAATCTGTAAATTTCGATTACCGTTCAGAAAATGATTACAGTAGACGAATATACCACTCAATGTATAAATATAGTAGAATATGATAGAGATAGATGTTCAAAAGGAATATTTAATAGAAAGAAATGGAACTGAATGTTTTGTGTTGTAGTTTATGTAAGAGCACTGATTCACTCGGATGAATAGTCTCATTAAATATTTTATTTGTAGCATTCCAAAACATATACATTGTTATAAAATCTACGTCGCAACTTCACAAGTTATGTTTTATTTCAATACCTAGCCAGACCTCGCCCAACTATATTTTAATGACACTATTTACCAATTTTCTGAAGTGGAAACATTTCCTTCTCTCCTAGGAATTAA